ATTTAATTAGTGATTTTAAATATCTTAAACAGATGTTTAAAAATTACAGATTTTTTTATTAAGGTGAAATTCACCTATCATAAAATTAACCATTTAAAGTGGATAATTTGGTGGCATTCATAAAATGAAGTAGAAAGTATTTTTTCCTTTTTTATTTTTTGGAGGAGATTGGCATTAATTTTTCTTGAAATGTTTGGTAGAATTCTCTAGTGAAACCTTTTGGCCAGGAGATTTTCTGTTCAGGAGACTTTTAGTTATGAATTCAGTTTTTTAAATGATTTCAGTAATACTCAAGTTATCTGTTTCATCTTGGTTGAGTTTCAGTAGTTTGTGGGTTTTGAGGAATTGGTCCATTTTTTGGTAAATTGTTCAGTTTATGAGTACTAAGTTGTTTGTATTATTCCCTTGTTATCCTTTTGATGGCTGCAGGACCTAAAGTGATATTGTTTCATTCCTGATGTTGGAGAGATAGGTCTTCTCTCTTTTTATCTTTGTCAGTATTTCTAGAGGTGTGTCTATTTTATTAATTTATTTTTTAAACCAGCTTTTTGTGTCGTTGAGGTTTTTTTCCTGTGGTTTTCATTGTTACTGATTTCTGTTCTTTTATATTTCCTTCCTTCTGCGTGCTTTGGGTTTATTTTTTTTCTTCTTTTTCTACTTTGTTGAAGTAGGAAGTTAGATTACTGATTTGAGCTCTTTCTTCTTTTCTGATATAAACTTAGCACTGTCAGTTTTCCTCTCAGCATTGCTTCAGCTATGCCCCATATATTTTGATATGTTGTACTTTCATTTTCATTCATTTCTAATGTATTTTTTAAATTTATTGTGAGATTTCCTCTTTGACCCACAAATTATTTAGAAGTGGTTCTTTAGTTTCCAAGTGTTTGGATGTTTTCCTGTTATCTTTCTGTTATTGATTTACAGTTTGATTCCATTATGGTCAGAGAACATGCTCTATGATTTTAATCCTTTAAATTTGTTGAGGTTTATTTTATGGCCCAGGTGGATATTTTTCTTGGTGGATATTCAGTGAGCACTTTAAAAAAATTTATTCTGCTCTTGTTGGATGAAGTGTTCTATATATGTATATATCAATTAGACCCTGTTGATTGATTTTACTGTTCACTTCTATATCCTTGTTGATTTTTTGTATAGAGTTCCACCCATTACTGAGATAGGGTATTAATGCCTTGAAGTATTATTGTGGCTTGGCTGTGCTGGTTTCCTCATTTCATCTCTATCAGTTTTTGTTTCTTATATTTAAGGCTCTGTTGTTTGGTGCATACACATTTAGAATTGTTATGTCTTCCTGGTGGATTGATCCTTTAATCATCATGTAATGTCCCTCTTTGTCTCCAGCTATTTTCTTTGCTCTGAAGTCTACTCACTGGATAGAATATAGCCACTCTGCTTTTATTTTTAATTAATGTTTGCACGGTATACCTGTTTTCAGCCTTTTACATTCAGCCTTTGTGTTTGAAGCATATTGTTGGGTCTTTTGTTAATCCACTCTGCCATATTTTGTGTAGGTCTCAGCCTACTAATGCTGTTGCCTGGGAATGCCTGGGGGCACTTACCTGGGCCAGTGTTGTGGCTGGACCAGCCCTTGTGGTTCTTATTAGGATTGCAAGATGCACCTCAGCAACAAGCATCAGAGAACAAGCAAGGTTTTATTGCTCACAGGTCCTGAATGACATGTCTCAGGCCACACATTGAGGTCACAGGAAGAGAGATGGGTAGGGGGCTCTAGGTCATCCCTGGGCTTCTTCCTTTATTGGGGTTGAGGGTGAGGTGCCTAGGGTTTCATGGGTTCACTCTTTATTGGTGAATTTAAAACATGAGAGCGGGAATTAAAGTGCACAAAAGGAAAAGCAGGGTCACTCTAATGATCAGTTATGTAGGTCACCCACGGCTTTCTAAAAGAGGAACTTCATGGATGGTGGCCTGGTTCTTTATCTAGTTGTGTAGCTGGCAATATGTTTATTCAAGATGGATGTTTTTGAAGTGGATGCCTCAGCAATCAAAAGCTTATTATCAGGTACTTATATTACAATTTAAAGAAAAACAAACTGTCAGGTACTTACACTACAGCCAATCTCAGTTAATTGGTATATTTAGACCATTTATATTAAAGGTAACTACTGATATTTTAGGGCTTAAGTCTGCCACTGTGTTGTCTTCTGTATGCTTCCTCCTTTTTTTTTTACTGTTCTGTGTTTTTTTGAATATTTTTTATTCCATTTTAATTTATAATGCCTGAGTGTATCACTTTATACAGTTTGCTTAGGTGTTGCTCTAGGTATTACATTATACACACATAACTTTTCCCAGTCTAACGATATCAGTGTTTTACCAGTCCACGTGAAGTGTAGAAAGTGTATTTCCATTTAGGTCCCTTTACCTTCCCCAATTTTTAAATATAATAGTATTTCCTCCACATGGGGCTACTCCATTTTGGTGAAACTGGAAGCCCATATGCTTGTCTTTTATCTGTCACCTTTACTGAATTATTCATTAGTAGTTCTTCATTACTTCTAGTAGTTGTCTTGAATTCTACATGTAGTTATATCTTCCACAGAAATGACATTTTCATCCCTTTCTTTCTTGTATTTATACTTCTCATTTATTTTTATCTTATTGCCAGGCAAAAAGTTGAATCTGTTTTTTCTATTTTTCAACATCAGCAGTGACTCTGTATCTTTTCACTTTATCTATATAAAATGAGAGATTTACTTGTACTTTGCCCCTCTGCTTCTAAGGTTTTGTGATACAGTCTGGATGTTTTAAGTCTAAATTTTTATCTGACTACCCATGGTTTTCTTTTTTTTTTTTTTTTGGTACCGGGGCCTCTCACTTTTTTGGCCTTTCCCGTTGTGGAGCGCAGGCTCAGCAGCCATGGCTCACGGGCCCAGCTGCTCCACAGCATGTGGGATCTTCCCAGACCGGGGCACGAACCTGTGTCCCCTGCATCGGCAGGCGGACTCTCAACCACTGTGCCACCAGGGAAGCCCTTCATTTTTTTATATGATCTGTCCTTAGGGCCTCTCTGACTTCAGCTCCAGCTCTCCCCCTCATTCCATCTACTCCACGAATAATGACCTTTTTGCTTTTCCTTTAGCACATCAGGGCCTGCTGCTGTCTCAGGCCTTTGCATTTGTTGTTCTCTCTGCCTGAATTGCTTTGCTTTCTCACCTTATAAAAGGTCTTTACTGTCATGTCACATTCTCACTAAGACCTTCCCTGGTCATCCCACTAAAGTTATAATCCGTCCCCTCATCAAATCCCCCAGTTCTCTTCCTTACTTGGTTTTCTTTTCATAGCACTTATCACCATCTAATATACTATTTTATCTATTAGCTGGTTTATTGTCTATTTCTCTTCATTAGAATATAAGTTCCATGAAGGCAGGAGTTTTTCTCTATTTTTCTATTTTCTATTTTGTTTTATTCCTGGTACCCAGAACAGAGCCTGGCACACGCAGGTACTCAATAAGTCTTTACTTAAATAACTAATCTTCATCTATTTAGCATTTTCCTTCTTCAAGTTAGAACTCTCAGGCCAAAGGATGTGTTTTTTTATTAATAGTTCTTTGTACCTTTTGCCATATAACTTTCTTTTTTGTTCGCTTTCTTATTTATTTATACCAGGTAATACTTTTCATATGGTTTAAAATTCAACCAGTATAACAGGGTTTGTGTTGAAGAGTATTCCTCCCTCTTCCATAGTCAAGCACCCCATTCCTCTCCTCAAAAGCAACTAGCTTTGTCACTTTCTTGATACTTCTTAAAGAGATAGTCCCATAAGGCTTTCTGAGAAGTTGACAAAATATTTTACAATTGTCTGTCCAGAACAGTGCCTGTTTCTCTTTCTATCTGCTGCTGAATCCTTCTCAATAGGCAGTGTAAATCGTTTTTGAGAGAATGTTACTGTCATGCTAGGTGCTGAGGGAGTGATATAGTGAAGAATTATTTTGCCCATGCTCTTGAAGTTCAAAATCCAAATGGGGCGGGAAGGTATCCACACTTACAAAGTAACACAGGATTTAGAAAGAGCAAGATGATATATATGAAATGTCATGAACATTGAATTATTAATTGTTGAATGAAATCTAAGTAACAGACACCACGAAAATTAGCTCATCAAAGCAGAGAGTGACTACCTTTATCAGAGAAGAGTACGTTGGTTTTGGATCATCTGAGAAGAGTGTAGAAGGAAAGGAGTGTATTATACCTTCTGTGCGTGTACCAACATGATATTTATATACTAGGAATATATTTTTATGCCATGAGATTTTTCGAAGAGGAATAACAAAGTCCTCATCTTGTAGAGGAGAGATTATATGTGATTATGACAAAGTCAGTGAGAGGACTTGCTGTAAAAAAGTATCACATTCAGTGGGGATTCTGAGAGAGATCATAACCATTTGGGGATCAAGAAAATGTTTATAGGGAATTCATGATCAAGACAGAGCTTGAAAGATAAGTAATAATAAGCACAAAAGGATAACACAGTGGAAGACTCTAGTACAGGGGTTGGCAAACTATAGCCCTTAGGCTGACCACCTGTTTTTGTAAGTAAAGTTTCATTGGAACATAGTCATGCTCATTGGTTTATGTATTGTCTGTGACAGCTTTCACTCTGTAGTGGCAGAGTTGAGCAGTTGAGACAGACCACATAGTCTGCAAAGCCTAAAATATTTACTATTTGGTCCTTTACAGAAAGAAAATTTGCTGTTCCCTACAAGTAGATAGGCTATGGGTGGGAAAGTATTATTGCTAACTATTAAAGAAATGAAAATGATATATTTATTATAGCTGGAGGGGGAAGTCAGTAATAGAAGGGTGGGTGGCTAAAGAGGAGGTTATCCTTGAAGGAATTTAATAGGAAGACCATTACTAATAGAGAGGAAGTGAAGAGTATCTCTAGGCTGGAACAGTAGTTCATTTAGACATAGATGTGGTTTGTCCTTAATCATACTTTTCTAATCTTTCCCTTGCTAGCCAAGAAGGATCAGGAAGGTGGAGAAGAAAAGAAATCTGTGCAAAAGAAAAAAGTGAAAGAGTTAAAGGTGTTGGATTCAAAGACAGCCCAGAATCTCTGTGAGTAACTCTGTGATCTCAGCAATTTGAAATATGAAGGAGTTTTTTTCTAAGAGCTTAATTCTCGTGGATCCAGGGTCCCTTGATATGAAACTTCCATCTGTTAGTTCCTGGCATTGCATAGTAAATACCTGATATCTGATCCCTTCAATAGCACTGCAGGATTGTTAGCATCTAGTTTTACAGCAAGAAAATAAAGGCTAATAGGACTTTTAGGAATTTGCCTAGTCACATAGCGGGTAAGAGGCAGGTCTGGGAGTTGAACCTCATATTTTCTTATTTCAAAGCCATTACTATTTCCATTGCATCCACAGAAAATCTAACACAAATGTTCTAGCCACTGCACATTTCCTTCTTTCTCATTTTCTTTTAAGTATTTCCTTTAAAGGTGGGCACTGGCTTGACTTCCATCAAATCTAAAGTAACTTTGTGGTTTAGAATAAATAATGTAAATCCTGTACTTCTCAGAGTAGGATCAATAACTTCAAAGAGTTCTGTTCTGAACTTGCTACCTATACTCATAACTGTGATTGGTGGCAAATTTCAGATCAGAAACTCCTCTGCAGGGTTGATATAGGTAGTATTTAATGATCAGAATGAATGTTCATTTTTTTGTTCACTTCAACTGTTGATATCCCTACTTTATGTTGCATAATGAAGATTTAAATATTTGTTCAACAAATATTTGAAGGTCTGCCGGGTTTCAGGCTCTATTAGGCACATACTAGGTGTGTGTTTCAGAGATGAAAGGGTATGTATTCCATAAAGCCCACTCATGATCCAGTGACATGGCTGTTGTCCCCATTTTACCAAGTGAGAAAACTAACGTTCAGATGTTATGACTTGGCCAAGATCACACAGGTAATGAGGACACATACCCACAAGTATAGTCAGTGACATAATGAGAACAGTAAGCCTTTACAATTCTTGACTATATAATCTTAGATCATTGGCAACAGATATTACTAAATAGTGTCTGTAGGTAAGTCCTTTTATGGAAATGAAAGTGATGTGAGATAGTTCCTCTTCTCAAGATTATCTCTAGCAACATTAAAATGAGCAATTGTTATTTTAGAAAATGATAAAAGACTGTGGGGTAGTACATTGTTATTTCCAGTTGAATGATATCAATATGGGAAACAGAATTTAGGAAGAGAATTGAGATTAGGAGGGTCTAGGTGTTATTTAGTGATTCAGTGATTATTAAGTGCCTCTTATATGGTGAGGATGCAAAACTAAGTAAGGTAGTCCCTATCCTCATGAGCCATATGTCTGGTAGAGACAGAAAAGTAAATAATGGTTATAGCACAAGTTGGTAAGTGTTACGATGGAGGTGTGCTAGGAAGCTTATGAGAGCACTGGGCAAGGGGGCATCTAAATCAAGTGGGAGGAGTATTGGAGAGAGCTCAGTCATTCTAAATGAAGTACTGCTTAAAACTATTTACAACAAACTAAATGAAGGGTGAGGGCTGGCTTGTTTCAGGCAGAGGGATCAGCATGTATGAAGGCACAGAGGCATGTGTGCAGTTCAAGAACTGCAAGTAGTTGAGTACAGCTGAGTAAAGGCCATATGTGGGGGAGTGGTGGTTGAAGAAGCTTTCAAGAAATAGACATAGAGGCTAGATCATGAAGAAGTCTGATAGGCTTAGGCTAAGAAGTATGTATCTTATCCTAAAAACTGTGAAAGTTATTGGAGGGATTTTAATCAGGAAAGTGAGTGATACAACCCTATGTAATTTGAGGGAGGGCTACTTCAGCAGTGATTATGAGGCCGGATTGCTAGGGTAGGGGAAGACTCTAGGCAGAGAGATGTGTTACGTTATGGCTTTAAACTAGGCGAGAGGTGATCAAGGCCTGAAACTAAGTTGTAAGAGTGAATAGGAAGGCAGAAGATATTAAGAAGATAGAATTAATGGAACTTAGTGATTGATAGAGGGGATAAAGGAGATGTTTTCTTGGGTTAAGATCACTCTATAGAGAGTGGTACCACTTATTGAAATAGGAAAATCCAGCAGGAGCAGATTCTGTCTTTTGTGGGAGAAATGGTGGACGTGAGTGAGAGATGGCAGAGTGGTAGGTAGGAATGATTGATTTAATTTTAGGATAGAATTTAAGGTTCCTGTGGGAATCTTCCAACAGGATGGGTGTATTAGGCATTTGGGTATAGAAATCAGGAGGAATGTCTGGCTGGAGATAAGAATTTAAGAAATAGTATATGAGTCATAGTTGAAGCCAATAATTTGCTTTGAAGGTCATTAATATTTGGGGGGGCAGGTAACAAAAAGGGGAGACCTCAAAGAAGGCTGGAAAGGAACAGCAAGAAAAATAGTCTGACATACTAAGAAGTGGGAGTCATAGTCAAGTGAAATCAGGACAGGAGAAGTGTCTTTTGGGTCTGGCATTAGGAAAGCCAGTGACCTAGGCAGGAATAATTTTAGTATAGCCTAAGTGTTAAGAACAGAAGCTCTGGAATCCGTTTGTATTTAAATCCTGGCTCCAACCCTTACTAGCAGTGTGACCTTGGACGGGTAGCTTAACTTCTTTAAGTATGTTTCCTTTTCTGTCAAATGTGGTTAATAATACAAACTTATACATTATTATAAGTAGGGTTAAATGAGATCATATGTGTAGATTGTGTTTAAGATACTAGGTCTTACATGGAGTATACACTCAACAAATGATTGTCATCTTTTCACTGACTTTGTGGGGACAGAAGAATTAATGGGAATGTGGAAGCAAGAATAGACTGTTATGTTTTTAGAATGTTATAAAGTGAAGGAAAGAAGGAAGTTGGTAATTAAGAATGTTGCATCGGGGAGGATTTTTTTTTAAGATAGGAAAAACTTGAACGTGTATATCGTTGTCCCTCGGTACCTGTGGGGGATAGGTTCCAGAACCCCCCTCATATACCGAAATCCATGGGTGCTCAAGTCCTTTATATAAAATGGTGTAGTATAGTTGGCCCTCTGTATCCACAGATGCGGAAGGCCCACTGTATATGCTGAAGGAAAAGGTCCTTAGGGCTACCTGTTCTATTGAAACACGAGAAAAGGATGAGTATATGGATATAACTCTGCTAAGCTTACGTAAAGAAGTGTCGGCACAAGTTTTCTTCTAGATGATTCCAAAATAGCCCTTACTCGAGCCTTTTCTAGTCTGGTTCCAACTGAGGGCCCCCAGTGCTCAGTTTATAAGTGGCATGAGAGAAAGCTTAGCAAGTAATTTGACCGATGGCTTCAATTTTTCTCAGTAAAAAGCAGCAAGGCCTGTTTAGAACAAATGGGGAAGTGGCAGGACATTTGGGAGAATGGGGATATTTTATGTGGAGGAGCTGCCAAGAGAGCCAGGAGAGCGTGGAGTAGGGACACACAGAAGGATTCCCCACCATCACCGGTGCCACTTCAGATTCGTAGAATCTGATCTGCAGTGTTCATCAGCCCAGGTGTAAGAGGAGAGATATGAGATGGCTGGGTTAACTAAGGACTGGAAGGAGAAGGAAACAAGAGAATAAGAATAGTAGTAATAATAGAATGGGAGTGAAAGGGTAGACTACAGGGTCTAGGTTAAACAGAGAAAGCAAAGTAGAACTGAGACATTCAGAGAAAATGGAGTGGTCATCTCTCTCGTGGGAGAGAGAGAGCGCGCAGGAAGAGAGCACTCTGATGAGACTGAAGAGTCAATTTAGGGATAAGTGAGAGAGCTGAAAGGATGGGAAGTGTTTGTTGGGGAATGGGATGTGGCAATTTAAGAATCAGAGCATTTCAAGGCAGTGGCAGCTTTGAGGATGGAGTCAAGGGAGTGAGGAACTAAAATAGAACAGGGTGAACATTTTTGATGTATATATAGAGAGAGATCAAAGACTTCCTGTGTGAGCAAAGACAAGGTGTTTGTAGAATGTGGTGCTTGGAACAGTGTGGCTGGCGTGTGACATAAATGTGAGGATTCGTGGGAGGGAAAGCTGGGAGGTGGGAACCTTAAACACTGAGCTCAGGAACTTGGAGCTTAACTATACAGGCAGTGGGGAGCTGGTGGAGGTTTCAGATCATGACTTTAAGAGAGCACTCCCAGGAAGGATGTCCAGCGTAGGTTTGTAGGGTGGGCTGGAAGCGGGAAGAGACTGAGAAGAACATGTCTTTATATCTCATTTCCTGGCAGCAATCTTTTTGGGTTCCTTCCGCATGCCCTATCAAGAGATTAAGAATGTCATCCTGGAGGTGAATGAGGCTGTTCTGACTGAGTCTATGATCCAGGTAAGGAGCAAGGTCATTCTGGAGCTGGCTCTTTGCATTGCTATACACTAGCTCTGTCTCCTCTCTGCCTAGACGAGGACTCTGTAAGCATCGTTGACTTAAAGAATGCTGGCTTTATATAAGCTTCCATCTCTCTGGTGATCAGGTTATTTCTGGTATATTTTTCAAAAGCCCTGCCATCTCACTAACTGCCCCCCCACCCCCACCCCAGCCCGTGTCTCCTTCTTCGTGGTCTTTGGGCAGAGCGAGGGACTGACAGGAGGCTCAAGTTGTCAGCTCATCCCCCTCAAACTTAGACAGTCCCTTCTGTCTTGCAGAATCTCATTAAGCAGATGCCAGAGCCAGAGCAGTTAAAAATGCTTTCCGAACTGAAGGACGAATATGATGATCTGGCTGAGTCAGAGCAGTTCGGCGTCGTGGTGAGTGAGGCCTGTGGCATAGACTCTTCTCTGACCCCCTCTTCCCCGAGAGCATCCGGGGCACTTGCTCCTGGCCTCTTGTCTATTCTGAACCCATCTTTCTCTCTTTCTCCTCCCTACCCTGGAACTCAGATTCTGCCATAGGAGGCTTAAGCCTGTATCTTCTTCTTCCTTTCCTCTCTCTCTGTTGGCTATAACGGAACTGCTTGTCTCTCCCCAGATGGGCGCTGTGCCCCGCCTGCGGCCTCGCCTCAATGCCATCCTCTTCAAGCTGCAGTTCAGTGAGCAAGTGGAGAATATCAAGCCAGAGATTGTTTCTGTCACTGCCGCATGTGAGGAGTTGCGGAAGAGCGAGAACTTCTCTAGCCTCCTGGAGTTGACCTTGCTTGTTGGAAACTATATGAATGCTGGTTCCAGGAATGCTGGTGCTTTCGGCTTCAGTATCAGCTTCCTCTGTAAGGTGAGCCAGGGGGTTAGAGCAGGACGGTGGAAGGGAAGGCTGTGGCCTCTAGGAGCCCAGTGTGGCAAACTGCTGTCGGCCTGAGGTGATCGTGGGCGTGTCAGGACTCACCATTTCTCCTCTTCCCCCAAGCTTCGAGACACCAAGTCCACAGATCAGAAGATGACGTTGTTGCACTTCTTGGCTGAGTTGTGTGAGAATGACCATCCCGAGGTCCTCAAGTTTCCAGATGAGCTTGCCCACGTGGAGAAAGCCAGCCGAGGTGAGGCAGATTGGGGTGAAGCTAGAAGGTGGTTCCAAGCCCCAGAAATCTCTGCACGGGGTAGGGAAAGAAGACTCAGTCTAGATTTTAGATCATTTTCAGTTCAGACAATTTTAAGGAACGGGAGAGAGCACAGGCATGATGTCTAAGCCACAGGGAGGAGTATCGGGCAGAAGAGAGGTCTCCATGTACAGAAGTGGGAAGCGCTCTTTCCCTTCTTAGGGAAACACCAGACACCAAAAAAACAACTAGAAGAAAGGCAGGTATTTTTAGTTTAAGTCAACAGTTTTTCTCATTCAGAAAGCGTAGACTGGATTAGCAAAAACCAGGCCTCACCGTCCTGGGACTAGGCAAAGAAAAAGCAGCATTCAGTAGAAATGGGAACAGATTTCTGCCCACCCTCTATATTTCTGTGTAAGGTCTCCTTCCTCCCAAACCCTGTTCTCTAAAATAAATGAGACCAAGATCCCGGGGGATTTCATAGATTCTTGTTAAATTAAATGAAGCCTCTCTTCTCTTCTTAGTATTGTACAGCTTATGGAGGCTGGAGGTTTAATCATCAAGTAATTTATAGTTTCACTGAAAAGCTGTGTGAAACAATTAGAGAGCACGTGAGAGGACTAAAATAATTAAGTACCAGCTGGATGTACAGACTGGAGCAGTGCCCTGAAGAACAGAATAGGGTTTTGAGACTGGAGGTAGTAAAAGCTCTTGCTGTCTGTTTTTGTGTCTACTTTAGTTTCTGCTGAAAACTTGCAAAAGAACCTAGATCAGATGAAGAAACAGATTTCTGATGTGGAACGTGATATTCAGAATTTTCCAGCTGCCACAGATGAGAAAGACAAGTTCGTTGAAAAAATGACCATATCCTTTCTTGAAAGGAGGGAGTTGCCCCCTAGGAAAAAAAAGAACTTCCCGTGGGGGGACAACAGGATAGATACGATGATACACAATTTTTCCTTAAAAAATGGTTTTTCATTAAAAAATGTTTTTTCATTAAATGCATAGTTCTTGAAAGCATTCTCATTGTTGTGGTTTGCATCAAACCATGCAGATAAAGTAAAAGTCTCCCTTGCCCTCTGCCCCATCTCCCCACCTGCCAGACACACACACCCCATACTACACACACATACATATTCCCTTCTCCCTCCCCTTCCCAAAGATAACCACTGCCACTGGACTTCTGATTTGCACCCTAATGAATGTATTTTAGTAAAAATTGCACTGTATTGCTTTAGCACTTAATATGTTTGGCCCTGTTTCCATAGCAGTGTATGCAGACCAGTCTCTTTTTAAACTGCCACTTCCTATTCTTTAGGAATACCATAGTTCATGGTTTACCATTCCCGTTTGGATGTTTAGATTGCTTCTGGGTTTTGCTAATGCGCCGTGTTGCGCATCCTTGTGCACGCCGGTACCCATCTGTGAGTCGTCCTCAGGGCTAGAGAAGTGGGTCTGCTTCCTGGTGTTGGCTCTTCACTCCCTGGCTGCACAGCTTTGTGAAGGAGGCACAGGAACAGTACAACAAGCTGCGGATGATGCACTCTAACATGGAGACGCTCTATAAGGAGCTGGGCGAGTACTTCCTCTTTGACCCCAAGAAGGTGTCTGTGGAAGAATTCTTCATGGATCTGCACAACTTTAAGAATATGTTTGTGGTAAGCAGGGTATACCTGCCGACTGAAGCGTTCGTGGACCTTTCTCACTTTCCACTGGGTTCATGTTGGTTGGTGGTGGGTGTGTACATGTGTGAGTGCATACGTGCCCACGTGTTCATTTCTTCCCCCACAGCAAGCAGTCAAGGAGAACCAGAAGCGGCGGGAGACAGAGGAGAAGATGCGGCGAGCAAAACTGGCCAAGGAGAAGGCAGAGAAGGAGCGGCTGGAGAAGCAGCAGAAGAGAGAGCAGCTCATAGACATGAATGCTGGTAAGAAGCGAAGGCAAAGGGCCGATGGGTTGAGACAGGAACATTTGGAAGGCTTCTCCGTCTAGAGTCTAGAGGCCAGAGAACAGCTCATGTCTGAGCTCAACTGCTGGCAAATGATTTTTGGCAGCCTTCTTCCTCCACGATCCTGATGCTGGACTTTAACCCCGACTCCGTTACATGCACGTTCCAGTGCTCGACTCTCAGTTTTTTCCCTCCTTTGCTGGTTCTGCATTATGTCTCACCTCCCCAGTGATTTACTATTGCTGTAACATGTACTCTTGCCTTCTGCCTGTCCAAAAATTCCCCCGTCTGGTTTTCATACCCTCTAGTACATCTTTTGTTCTTTTTCCCAAACTGTTTTCCTGGCCCTGCTCCTGTCTTTTAACGGCTTGCCTTCTCTTTCTGCTCATTTCACTAAGTATTGTGTCCCCAGTACCTCAGCACAGTTGTACACACCTATCAGATTGTAAATGGATTGAACTTCTGGAAAGGGGGCAGGGGAGCTGGCCACCCTCTTCCTTCTTCAGCAGAATCTCTATTTCACTCTCAGAAGCATGTCTTTGTTGAAACATATGGCCTCAATCACTGGCCCTCTGTTTCCTGTTTCTGCTTCTTTCCTGCTGCCGACTCCCTGCCCCTCTCTGGCTGCTCTCTCTGCGGGCAGCGGAAATCCAGCATCCATTGCACACAGCCCTGAGCTGGTGCCACCCTTCTTGAACCTGAGGGGCTACGAGCCATCTAAGTAAAGAGGTTCTCTGGGCTGCTGGGTCTGGCAAGAATCCATGCTTTGCTGAGCACGAGTGGTGAGGGCTGCTCTGACACTCCAGCTCCCGGGGACTTCTCTTTGTGGCACGATCAGGGACCTGAAGCAGCAGAACTGCCTGCATTTCTGTCTTTTCTTTATATTTTTTGGGGAAGCAGTTCCCCTGCCCTTACTCCAGTTGTATATAAGCCACAAACTTTGCTCTAGTAATGCCATTAAAAAAGCCCACACCAAGTATCCTTCACCTTCCCCCATTCTCCCCAGGCCTCTAGGCTTTGTCCCCAGTTAATGTTTAGGACGTAGTAGGGAAAGGTGGAGTCCAGCTGATTTGTGGGAGTCCAGCTGATTCGAAGGCTGCACACAGTCGTCAGGCAGCGCAGGGGACCCTGCCCTGGTCCATGTCCCCAAGGGCAAGCAGATGAGGTTGGAATGTAGGGCAGCTGCACTGGTGGTGTTTGGCCAGCAGGCGGCACTGGGAGCAGTGAGCCCAGCCTTGTGGCTGGCAGCCTACCGGCTCCTAGGGATTTCACAGTTTCAGGTTTCGCCACCCTTAGCTGTTGCCATGGAAACGGAGCGGGCTGGAATAAGGATTCTACATTAACTCTTTGTATTCCAACCAGAAGCTCCTCTTAGATGCAGAGCTGACTTCCGGAAGATGCAGCCACTGGGGGCAGTACTTAAGTGAAATACACTCTTGATCAGTGGTCTCTCATCTCTCCTCAGCCCTGCTCTGAAACTGAAAGCAGGCTTTCCGTGAGAGGTTTATTATGTAAATTGGAGTGAAACACTTCAGGATAAATAGAGAGTGATATAGTTCTTTATTAATGTCATAATCCCGGTCTCTGTACGTATCCCAGTCTTGCAGTCAAGCAGGTCTACACTTTTCTGTGCTAGTTCTGATGGGGGTGGGAAGGGAGGAGGGCACTGCAGGAAAATTATGCAAGGTTTGCAGTGGTTGGTAACCAGTGAAACCTTTAGTTTTAACCATTTTCAAACAGACACGAGCAAACATGGGCTGTGAGACTTGAGGTTGAGCCCTCCGTGTGCTCCGAGCCCCGAGAAACTGTGGGCGAGGGCAAGCAATTCAGTAGCAGTGCATTTTTTGTGGGGCTCAACACATGAGTGCTACTCGGGCTGAAGAGCTTACATCTCCGTTTTTGTTCATGACAGAGGGCGATGAGACAGGTGTGATGGACAGTCTCCTGGAAGCCCTGCAGTCAGGCGCAGCATTCCGGCGGAAGAGAGGACCCCGTCAGGGTAAGTCAGCAAGTGGAGCCCAGCCTGTGTGTTGAAGGAAGGCAGTGAGGCCTCTCTGCTCCTGGTCCTGCTTGTCTTGGGCTAATGAGCAGGTAATGATGTTCTGGAGGGTTTAGAAACTTCTGAGCAGGTAATGATGTTCTGGAGGGTTTAGAAACTTCCCCACAATAGTCCCTGCATCTAGAGTGGATTACCTAGTCCTCTTCCAACCATGTTAGAAAGTGCTGACTTGGAGAACTAGGACTTGAGGGACTGACAACAGATATTACATTTGATTATTCTTGTATCTCTCCTCATTCTTTTTTTTTTTTTTTTCTCCTCATTCTTGAAGCAGAAACGTAGAATAAGCAAACCACTGTGCAGGACACAGAGATTTGAGTAGGCGTTTGTGTATATGAACAAAAAATTTGATGTAACTTCAAAACTGTACATTAGATGTAGGAATACAAAGAAAATAAGTCAAGAGTCCTTTCTCTCAGCTTCACAAGCAGAAGAGATAGAATAGAAAGTATGGAATCCTATAGAGAGAAGGCTAGGCATCATTCTCCCCAGATGTAAGAATGTAGAGGAGCATCTCAACCGAAGGATTGTGCTATGTCTGAAACCTGCCTTTTTCTTGGGTGTAATTGGCCTCCACTGCACTTGCCTTCCCCGTTTACTCCCCCGCAGCCTCCTCTCCCGACCTTCAGAAGATTTAAGTGGATTATGTTGAGCCAGAGCCTCTAAGAAGAATTATGGGGATAGGAGGACAAATGATCCAGGCATTAGTATGGGGAAGGATCAACGGTTAAACTGCCTTTGAGGGAAGTATATAGTGGCCAAGAGACTGGTCCAGAAGAAGGTATGGCCAAAGCTACTCCTCATGACCTGCACTACTGAGTCTGGTGAAGGCCCTCTGGGGCTAGGCATGATGGCTTCTTTCCTAGGTTGAAGGGTGGGCATTACAGAAAAGGCAGCATTAAGAGTTTGTACTTCTGAGGTGGTTTAAGCTATGTTCCCTATTCCCTGGCTGGTGTGTTCTGTGGGCCTGTGTGATAGGAGCTTCACTTCAACGTTATTGTACAGATGAGTTGTGTGGTTTGCTTGGGACACTGCTTAGCTATTAACAGTGGTATCTGTAGGACCTATAGTACCCGTCACAGCCTGTAAAGGTGACCTTACGATCAAGGGTATGGAGCATGTTAGCCCACACAGAGTCAGTGTCCTGGGCCAGACGTTGTAGATCACTATGAGTTTCTTCGTGAATGGCTGACTGCCTGCTTCTGCCAATACTCTGAATACCCAGAGGGAAATTCCCTCTGAGGGCTCTTCTGTAGGACTTCAGAACCTGCCCTAAACAGAAGAATCCCTCATTACAACTCTTACCTATTTCCTGGCATCCTCTGAGTACAGGCTTTCTGGAGGGGAGGAGAGGTGAGTGTGATGGACTTAGGTCTTTCTGGGATAGCGTGTTCAGTCGTGTAGATCTAGGTTTGGGCAGAGTATGAAGCTAGTGGTATTTTTGGTGTGTTTAGTCTTTAGAGATTGTTGCGACATTGTTTCCTCCCCACCATATAAGGTGATGTGGCCTGACATTAAGCGTTTCTAGATAAACAAAAATACATTGCCTCTCCCTATTTTCCTCTATCCTCTCAGCTAAGTGCCAACCTTCACCGGACTTTTGGTGGGGAATTCCCTTTTAAGCTTCTTCCTGTAGAACTAAACCAGAATCCCAGATGCTTCCTGGACACAGGCAGCCAGACATCAGTGGCTTCCCTCTACTGGAGAGGCCCCATTCTCCACTTCTTCCCAAGTGAGAAACCAGGACTTACAGGCCGAGGAAGCAGGGATTTTGTTAGAACCTAACCTTTCAGCAGAGGACCTGGGTCAGTCAAAGTGCTGTTTCCCAGTGCAAGAAGGACTAGGAGATTCTGAAGCGAAAAGAAGGTGAAACTCAGAACTACGTACTTTTAAAATTGGCTCCACCTTGTATCCTTATCTTTCTGGGGTCACTAAACACACCGAACATATCTGGGAAAATCAGGGGAGACGTTTCTAGTTACCCTGGTAACCCCTGTAGACATTGGTACATTCATTTCCGAGAAAGTGACGTGGCCTTCCATTAAACATGAACAGAAGGCCAGGCATCACAGTAGAGAGCAAAGAGCACAGGCCTAGGTAGGCATCAGAAGACCCAATGTCACATCCAACTGATGCTGCCTAGATTACCTGAGACAAGTTTCTGGGACTCAGTTTCTTCACGTCTAAAATGAGAGTTGGGCTAGAGTGGTCTCCAGGGCCCTTTACAGCTTTAGTATTTTTTTTTTTTTCTACCGTGACAGTAGGATTAAGAGGAGAAGAAAAGAAAGAGGCTGGACCCAGAAGGCCACATTATAAAACTATACAGGTTTCCCTCACTGGCTGCCGGACTTAGCTGGTCCACCCAGTGCCTGGCCGTCTCTGACTGTTCCTGCTGACTGATTTTGAGCTAAAGAACCGAAGCACTATCATGCAGGTCTGCCTCACAGCCCTCCTCCGTCCCATAAAGGCAGCTGTCCATATTGAAAGACACAGCCTTTGCCCTGGGATTTAAAGGAATGTTTAAAAAACATCTTCTGGTCTCTGGAGACCTGAGGGAGTGACCAGTATACAAAGAGCCATTGAGGGGTTTGGAAGAGGAGCGTTACTATCAGGGCTGGTTCATTAAAAGTGACATGTAAACTGCTGTGATCTGCAGGGTGTGGGAGAACAATGCTTTGAGTGTCAAGGGGAAGAATCCATGTGATTGTATTACAGCCACTATTTCAGGCTGATGATTGAGTCAGCTTGTGGTTTTAATGACTCAACTTTATCTCCATGTCTGAATTGTGGCTCCTTATATACAGGCCATCTGCTCACTGGGATAAAAGTCAAGGAAAGAAGGAAATTCATCTCCCTCTCCCTTTCCTTCCCTCTGCCACTTCCCAGCTTCCAGCTAAGCTCTCCCTACACTGATAGAACCTTAGAGTTGGGACCAGCGCTGAAGCCCTCCAGTAATTAGCATCTCACCTTCTCGTAGGTAACAGGACTTGAGACCCAGATAAGGTCTTGCCAAGATCTACAGAACTGGCTAATGATAGAGCCAGAACTGTAACCCACTGTTGTGAATCCAAGTCCAGGAATATTTCCACTAAGCCTATGTGAGGAGCAGGAGATGACGGCGAGCCCTCTGTGTAGGCCAGAAATGCTCTTTCATACCTTCCAGCAAGGAGAGCCCTGGACATGGTGAAATTGCTTCAGGGAGTTTTCCAGCGACCACCTGTCTAGAGAGGTTAAGAGTATATCCTCTACCACCACTATTTCTCCCTCCACTTTTGTAAAAATAGGACAGGAATTATAATTAGGAGTGTTGTAGACAATAATGAGTTCTTTAGGATGGTAATGATTGCCCCATCTGTCCTAGTTTCCTCTTCCCTTAGGAAGCTTATTAACAAGAGTACTTCCTCCTTAGTAGTAGTTCCTAGCCTGTGTGTTATAAATATCTTTTTTCCAAATCATTAACCTTTTTCTAATTCATCCATACTAGTGTTATATGTCTGATTTCGCTGGTGTTTTTATCTAGCTCAGCCCTAACTTCTAGAAATCTGGCCTCAGAGAGCTTTGGCCAATGTCTCAAGATTGTTCCCTTTTCCCCACAGTCTGTGGGACTACTAGGAGTTAATAATCCTCCCTGGTCCCATAGAATCAAAATATGTATCTGCTTCTGTGGCTACTTTTCATCGTCTTAACAAGTACCCAAGTTAGGGAAAGGCTGGGAGAGGTTGTCTTCTGGATAGTCAAGCTGTTCAGCGTAACTGTGGCCCTGAAGCCAGAGTGGCAGCCAGGATTCCTCGATTCTGTTCCCAGTTCCAACAAGAGTTTTTCTCTTTTCTGATTCTGACCTTAGGCCACATCAGGTCCATGCCTAGTATACCTACCTTCTAGGCTTAAAAGGGAAATTTTGGTCTTTCCTGACTTACCATCCACTCAGGTTTTATGCAATCTGCAATGCATCAGAAGCTTTCTGAATCTAGGAAAATACAGAGACGTGCTTGATTAGGTACAACTGGTATCTTCTTAGTTTAGAGGCAGAAACCAAAGAGAGAAACAGCTGAAGATACTTCACACTTGTACTTTGACTTTTCCCATGTTGTCCAAGACAGGTGTTCCTGAAGACCCAGTGTTCCTTTTCCCCGGGTCCAGAGTCAGACATTATTTTAACATATACTTACCCCTTGAGTCACACACACACACAAATATAGTTGGAATATTTTCTCACCTGCTCCTGACTGAATTCAAAGGAGCAGCAAAGTGATAATCAAGCCACTGCCTTTTCTGGACATGACAAGTAGGGTCCTAGAGAAGGGAGTATTCCAGAAAAAGAGCAGAAACTCAGCAGGTCTGAGGAAGATTTTGCTGGAGATAGGAGACCATCCTAGTCGCAACTCCTACGCACCCCTTTCCTCCCCCGTCCGTCGCTGAGGCATCATTGCACGTTCATAATCCGAGGAGTAGTTTGTGTGAAACCCTGTAGTCTTGGTCACACACCTTCCCCCGTAACCAGATGAGCCCTGTGCCTGCCAGCCAGCCAGGGTCTTCACTATTCTTTCTCCTCTTGGTAGACAATCCTGCGTGTCCCTGGGAGGAGGAGGAGGAGACCTGTAAATTGGTAACCTGTGGACGTGCTGTGTGCTCCCAGCTGACCCGCGGGTAGCCTCTGCCGTGTGAACACAGTGGCTCTGGGTCATGTTTCTGCAGAGGCTGACAGCCCTAGTGAAGACCTGGGCCCTCTGACCCTGTTTGGCTTCCGTCCCAGCTAAAGCTTTTTGCTCGTCTCAAGAAGGCAAAGTGGACACTTTGTTCACTGACCCTTCTGGACCTCTTCCTTCCTGCTCGTGCCCTGCCGCTGCCCTGTCCTGCATTTAGGAGTGCTGGCCTTCTCTCCTCCGTCTCTGCTTCTTTAAGGTTTAGGCACTGCTTTCTCCACCCAGCTTTCCCATGACCCAGCAAGCTGTTTTGTTTTTTGTTTTTTAATTGGATATAAATCACATACCTAAAATTCACCCTTCTAAAGTATACAATTTACTGTTTTTTTTTAGCATATTCACAAGGTTGTACAACCAGCACCACTAATTCCAGAACATTTCATGACCCTAAAAAGAAACCCCATACCCATTCTCCCCACGCCTAGGCCTGGCAACCACAAACCTACTTTCTGTCTCTGGATTTGCCCATCCTAGAGATTTTACAGAAATGGAATTATAGCATCTGTGGCCTTTGTGTCCGACTTCTTTCACCCCTGGCAGGCAGCTCTTTGGGACCTGCAGTCTGTCTGCGCTGCTTGTAGGGCATGGGAATAGGCAGAGAGCATGAGATGGGCATGGTCCCAAGGAACGGCTTTCTTGTTGAGGATACTGGGACCATAAATGTGGATTCCATGAATGAATATGAGAGTCTTGGGGATGACGCCCAGGAGTTAGGACAGAAACTCATGGACTGATTGGTTCTTCTCTTCCTATTTAGGGTGGCAACAGAAGCTTCACTATCCCTTAGCCCATTGGGCTAAGATTTGTTTGTAGGGTTCGTCCTGGCCATCCTTGACCCCAGCTCTGCTTTCCCTGACACACCTTTCACTACCCCTCCCCTTACACACACCCACACACACATATTGCACACCTTGTAGAGCCCTTGGCATTTGGATCATCGCTGCTGCCCTTGAAGAGGTGGAAAAGAGCTCAGCGTGTGGGCACGGCGAGAGAGAGAGGGAGGGTTGGTGGGACCCAGGCGAGTGTGGCATCATGTGACGTCAGTGCATGGCTGCAGCTCCTCTTTGCGGGAGTCCCTCTGGCCGCCTGCTAAAGGCCTTCCTCTGCTCGGGACAACCCTGCCCAGGGCTGACTGAAAGTGATTTTGGCCTAGGAGCTTCCTGAGAACTGCCAAGAAAACAAAAACAATACTGTTTACTAAGCTTGAGTCTGTTTACTTCCAACAACCCTCTGACGAGAAAACAGATTTTGAGTACTTCTCTCTTTACATTACACTGCTGATACTTGAACTCCGTTGTGTCTGTCTAGCTGTATTCAAACTTCTTACTACTTTTCACACAGGAACTCAAGAGCTTGCTCTCCTACCTGTACCGTACTCTCATATTCCCTGCTTGCACCCTCCCCGCCGCAAAGGTATCTCCCATGTGTTCCTGGCTTTCTTCCCCTCCTTCTTCAAAAGAAGGGCCTCTGAACTGGACAGGGCCGCCATGTGTGCATGGCTTCTGGCCGAGTATCTGCCGTAGAGACCGATAGGGATTCGAAACTGGCCTTCCATGGATGAGATCTCTCATGTCTTCTCTTGCAGGCAACAGGAAGGTCGGGTGTGCAGCTATATCTCAGCTAGAATCAGTGCTGACCAGGGACGGTGCCATGACCTGTGTTCCTGCCAAGATGTCCAAGAGCGAGGAAGTCCCCACCATCCTTGAGGAGGCCAAGGAGTTGCTCGGCCGTGCAAGCTAAGCCAGGTCCTGGGGCCATGGCAGCTCCTCAGTGGAGCTCCAGACTGTCCCTGCCCTGCAGCGTGTGGGTGAAGGGTCGCAGAGCTGTTCCTCTGCGGTGGCCACTCCCATCACCTTGACCCCATCTTTGTCTCCAGTCTGCTGCTCTCTGTACATCACGCACAGCTTCAGCTGCCTGGAGGCCAGAAGGAAAGGGCAGGGTGGGGAGGCCTGAGGCCAACCCGGCCAGCCCTGGCTCTCATATTACCAAAGCAGGCTCTGTGTTTGCTGCCTTAACCCCAAGTGTCTCCTCCGTTCTCCGTGGCCTCATCTCAGACAAGGCCCCACCTGCTTTCTCAGCCTCTACCTTTCCCGTGGGCTTTTGCCTAGGTCAGTCTTGCTGGGTTTATGCTTTTCTTTTGTGTTTTCTCTGGCCCTGAGAACAGCATGGGCTGATGAACCTTTGGGCTCTGTCCCTCCTTCCATTGCTGTCACCGCCACCCCGCCTCCCTGCTCTTCCTGCCCCCTGGCTCTTGTTATTACTAGGGGTGTGGCATTGGGAGCTGCTTCCAAGGAAGTGGGGAGCAAATCCCCCTTATCCCACTTTTTGGGAAAGGCCTCCCAAAACAAAAGGAACCTGGACCACTTTCATCTGTTCTCTAGGCCAGAGCCTAGGGCGGGCAGGCATGGCACAGGTGGGACCTGCCCCCAGTCTGCTGCCATGCTCTGTGCCCTTGCCTCTCTGGACCCTCTGCACCAGCCCTAGGCTACTGAGCCACAGGCCCTTCTCACGCCCTCCCTAGAGCTTTGGTGCATCTCATCCCAACACCTTATCCTCTGTCTCCAGGGAAATGGGAGGTGGAGCCTCCTGGCTGAGAAATTGTTTTGCAAAAGGATCTATTTTTATATGAATTTTTTTTTTTTTTTTAAGAAAAATAACTCTTCCTTCCTCCTTTCCCCTCCATAATATAAGAGGCTTTGATGGCAGGTTCCAGAGTCCCTGGGATTTCTCCCCACAAGCCTCAATTCTGAACAAGCCCCTGGACCTCCACCTCAGCCCTCAAGCCTCTGGGCCCTTGAGGCCAGTGCAGACTCCCTCTCCCAGCATCTGACTCTGGGGCAAGGGGAAGCTCTTCTCTTGTTGAGCTGGACCAGGCCTAAGAGTAGTGGGAGCTCTGAAACGACAGAGTTTTTAAAAATTTAATATATTTATCAAGCCAAATGTGCAAATGCTAACTGGCCACTCTGGAGCAGTGCGCACAGGCTGTGCCCCACCCTGCTCTCTTCTCTGCAGTGGGCAGGCCAGACTCTTTGGCGGTCCCAGCCACAGGAAGCTCAGATTCTCCGGTCAAGGTGACACTTTACCCTCCTGTGCTCCTTTCAGCTTCCCACCCCTGGGAGAGAGAATGGCACTGGTAGGACCTGGCGCAAAAGTATAGTTATTAGAGCAAGGGGGAGCTTAGGAGACCTAAGGGCGCCTGCAGGGAGGCCTTGAGGCCCGGAAGGAGGGTTCTGGTTGTTGGAGCCTGTGTGTGGAGGGGCAACAGCAGCTCCTTTGCACTATTTCTGGGAGGACCGCGGTGCAGGGGCCTGCTGCTCCCCTAGGTCCCTCCTCCCTGCTGACATCTGGGGCTTTGACCCTTTCTTTTTTAATCTACTTTTGCTAAGATGCATTTAATAATAATAAAAAAGGGACAAAATGCAAACCTGTTCCCCTCACCTCTTGGGCTTCTGGGATGTCATCACCTCCAGTTTGTTGGGCTTGTTTCCAACTGTTAATAAAGCATTGAAACAGTACTGCCTTACAGCTTCGTTTGTGAATTTCTGAACTGTTTGTCTCCACTCTCATCCAGGCTTCTCCACTCTCATCCAGGCTTCTCCACTCTTGTCCTGCCTCAAGCCCGATTGACCTGACAAAATCATCAAAAGGGTGCCGGCACCTTCAAGGTGCCAGACGCTACGATTGGGCGCAGGGCTAGAACTGATTCATACATAGTGGCTTCTGTTCCGCCATTTGCCCTCTGTAAAGGAGTAGGGCCCCAGTTCAGCCCCCTACCCTTCCACATTGCTGCCTCTCGCCTTGGAACCTTTTTCTTGGATTCAGTTCTGGGACCCCACCTCCCCATGACCCCAGACTTCACATGCAGTTTCCTGGCAGTACCTGTGCCTCTTTTGCTAAGGGAAACCTATGACTGCCATTCTGCCATTCTCCCGTATTCCCCTCCCACACTCACTTTTGGTGTCCACAGACCACATTCCAGGCTAGGGCTTACCCTGGGGTGGAAACCTGAGCCTGCCCAGCAGAGGTCAAAAGACAGAGGTCATGCTCCAGGTGACTTGATGCTCAGAGCCCAGACTTGTTTGAGCACATTGTGACCTGCACAAAGAAATCTTACAAACCAGGTCCAGAACAGACAGGGAAAGGCTTGGAGAGGAACCACAAACCCATTTGGGCAGGCTCTGGAACTGGAAATAAAAGCCTCTTAAGTAACCCTGCAGCCTGTGCAGCTGTCTCCATCGTATGGCTGGGGATGGGGAGGTGGGTTCCCTGCCTCCTTCTTCCCCACCCCCAGAGGCCACGCGTTTCTGGCTTAGAGCTGTATAGGCACACATACCAATTAGGGGACCGACCAACCACAGCTGCTCACGCGCTCTGCCAGTCTCCTTCCGTGCCTGGAATAGAACCCAGGCGACCGGCACCCCACCCTCTGCAGCCTGGCTCTCAGAAACAAAACCCTGCTTCCATCTCAGCAACCACGCACACCACCCTTCCTCCCACGCAAGAAAGCCGCCCCCAGACGCCTACCTAGTTGGAAGGCTTGGTTTCCATGACAACAGACTTCAGAAGCTGGGAGACCACTTGACCGGCTCTGGGAGAGTACAGAGGACACCCAGAGACAGCCACCCCCAACCCTGCGGTTGGGCATGCCCTTGCCCTCACCGACCCCCCTGAAAACCCCAATGGGTCTGTCTTTATGTCCTTCCGCCCCTTCCTCCCACTCTGTTGCCTGCAGCTTCTTTGGCGGCAGCAACCTCGAATCCCTCCTTGCTTCCAGGAGGCTGGAGGAGGCGGGGAGACGGGCTAGGCGAGAAGTGAATGGAAAGCACGGAGAGAGGGAGAGAGGAAGGAGGGAGGGCATCTGCGCCTGCGGGCAATCTTATATCTGTCTTGCCCTTTCTGTCCCCTTGACACCGCCCGCCTCCCTCCTCCCCCCCCCCCCACATGCATTCCAAGCCCCCTGGGAGGGAGGGTGGGGGAGGTGAGGGGTGTGGAGGAGGACTGGCAGAGGAGAGTCCACCCTCCTCCCCTGGCAGGGCGCTCGGGGTGGTCATTTTAGCAGGGAAGGGGCGGAACTCAGGAAACGTCCACGGCCCCTCTCCAGCTCTATTTGCCAACCCGCGCCGCCCCCTCGCCTGGGTCTCCTCTTCTGCCTGGAGACGGCAGCGAACAGACAACGGAACCCGCAGCCGCACGCTGCCACGTCGCGCTCAGAAATCCCCTCCCCCACAGCGGACCCACAAGCCGATTACACACACGGGGTACAGATCCACAAGCACCATTACGGTCAACGCACACCATTATATATGCACGACGGTGTTGCCGCATTTAACAATTTTATACACATACTCTCGGGCACTGACCCAAAACCAACACGCAACACAATAATCGCCTCCGATCCCGCTCGTCTTCCAGCATACAACTCTGAGCTCATCACTTCATCCACACATGCCAGGAGCCCCCATCTCTTACATAGAAACGGTAAACCTTTCAGAAGAAATCTTTTAATTTTTTTCAAAGAAAAAAAGCCATATAAATATTAGAGTATAAAACTTGCGTGAGACACAGGAAGGCGGTGGGGTGGGGAGCTACGTGACTATGCAAAGAGAAGCGCTTAGAGGAGTCAGGACGCGGGAGGGGGTCGCCGCAGCGCGTGGACACAGCACAAAACACAGCACGGGCCGCCGCAGGCAGATTCGGGGACAGACGGCTGCGTGGAGCCCGCCGCCCGCGGCCCCACTCGCCATTACGGAAAAGCACGCCGCACTATACACTATTGGCTATTCTACACCAGCCGAAAGAGGGCGGGGGGGTCTCTACACCACTGCAAGGGCCGGGTGGGGTTCTCGCGAAGCCCCGCTGCGTGAACGGGACGCCGGGGGCAGAAGGGGTGGACAGAGGAAGATCTATGCACAAGGAGGCACTGGGGAACTTTAACCAGGCTCTGGCCACGAGGGATCGGACTGGGGGCCTGGGCAGTGGCCTTCACAGAGACGAAATGGCACCTGTCGAGGTGAAGGACTGGGGTTGCTGGATGCAGGGGCCCTGTGGAGAAGCAAGCCCTGATCCTGGGCTGACACTTTCCACTTGGTCCCTGCTCTAGCTCCTTTCCTTCCCAACCCAGGGACCAAAAGTGGTCTAGCTGGCCCTCGCTTCCTGCTGGGGCCACACTGATCCTTCCACCAGCAGCACCTCTGGAGTACCCAGCACCCACAGAGGCCCCTCTGACCTCTCCAGGGGACCTGGTCCCAAACCTGCTCAGAGCTTCCTTGGACCATAATGCCAGTTTAAATCCATTGGTGCCCGTAGCTCAGCCCACCGCTGGCTGCCTGGGCTGCCCTGTATATGATAGATGAGGGTCCAGCCTGGTGCTTGGCTTATGGCTGGAATTTGGGGATCTGGTCAGTACCCTGGGGGCATACAGAGCCTCCAGCAAGACCCTGTTAACTGATGGATCAAGCTTTGTCCATCCCCCCAAACGCACGCGCGCACACACGCCCACCCTTCCCTTCTTTATCTTACCACCCCGTACCGTCTTAGAACATGCAGTGAAGTCTCTTGTTTGGGGAGGGAAGTCACAGCATGCAGTGGGAACATCAAACAATGAAAACCAAAAGACTGGTCCCCAGGGTGTTGGGAAGAGGCATGGTAGCAAAATGCCCTCCCTAAATCCAGCAAGCATCAGTACCATAGGAATGGTGACCGTATCTCCCAAAACCTGAGCTTGGTCTCAGGTCCTGGAAGGAGGTGAAGGGATTGGCACCAAACCATGCTTTGGGGGAAGTCTGAGAATTGAAGGAGAGGCCAAGAGGTCATGATGCCCTTCCAACTCTTCAGAACTATGAGCCTTTTTAGGTCACCAGGTACCTCAACACCCCCAAACAACTTAAGAAAGAGGAACTGTTGAGGAGGAGGGTGGGGTGGGTCGGGTAGGAGGGAGGCAGGGGATGGATGGGCCCGATTGAATTTGGAAGATGGAGGAGTTCAGCTGTAACTGAAAGGGGTGTGATAAATGGTGTCTACACTAACCCACTACCCCCATGGGCACAGCAATTGATTGGATGGGGGTTCCCAGCAGAACTCCCTTTGCATATTCAATCCCCTGGGGGCAGAGGGGGGGTGTTGACTGGGCACTTGTTTCTGTTTCCCAAGGGGAGCATGGCCTGGGCCCCTACCAGTATCCTGGGGGTGAGCCCTGAAAATCCGAGGCCTGGGCACAGGTAGGGAGAGGCTGGGCTGGTTGGGGAGGGAGGCTGCCCTGTGGCTCCAAGGCCTGGCCTCCGCATTACTTCTTCTCCTTCTTGCCCGACTTCTTCTTGTTGCCGTTGCCACCTGCCGGGGCCTTGCCATCTCGCTTGCCAGCTGCGTTGGTCAGAGTGGCATTGCTGCCGGGGATGTAGACGTTCTGGCGGTAGTCGGGCACGTGCTGCAGGGTGAACTGGGGTCCGTAGCGGGCACTCAAGCCCATGGTGCCGGCACTCCCTCCCAGGGTGGAGCTCCCATCAGCGGCTTCTGCAGAGACAAGGGAAGGTCAGGGACTAAGCTTCAGGGTCCCCAACAGTTACTCTCTTATAGCACAAGCAGTTATAGCACTGGACACACCATCCCACCCACAAGGGGTAGGGCTAAGAGGCTCTAGAGTGACCACCTAGGTTTCATTCCTAGTTCTTTTACCTACTAACTGTGATCCTAGTCAAGTGTACCTAACCTCCCTACGTCTCCTCAGTTTCCTGAACTGCAAAATGGGGATAATAATAGTACCTATCTCTTCCGGTTTTCGCGAAGGCTAACCAAGATTACATATGTAAAGCACGTAGACTAGTGACTTCAAACATGCTAGCTGTCATTTCTCTCAGGGCTGAGACACTGCTCTCAAGTCCTTGCCCTAGCCCTTCTCCAGGCAGCCTCTCTGGTCTCCACACTAGACCACAGACTCCTGGGCGGCCAAGACCATGGTTCGGGCAGGTTCCCATCCTGTTCCACCCAGTGCCAAGCACAGACCGGGCACTGAGTTGTTCTGAGTTAGGAGTAGGTGCTTTTCCGGGGATTCACTTCGTAACAGCAACCAGTGCCTACTGTGTGCCAAGCACCTTGCTAGATGTTGCACATGCATGATGGCTTTTTACCTCAACTCAACACTCCAGGGATGTGTGTGCTCTTATCCCCGCTTTACAGATGAGAGAAGCAAGGGTCAGAGAAGGTGAAAGACTAGCCCAAGGCCTACGAGCCAGGACAGGTGAGAGCAGGGGTGAGGCCTAAGTGTCTCTTAAGTGTATGCTGTAGGGTATGGTCACCACCACCACCACCAGAGGCCTGCACCTCATCGCTGCTCTGAGGATACAGGAGGCGGAGAGAGGCTGAGAAGATGATGATCCCAGGACCAGATGTCTTAGGTACAATGTAGGCACAGGTTCACAATGTCAGAGTAGCTGACATCAGAGAGAGCCTGTAGCCCAACTTCCCATCCTGCACAAGAAGAAACTGGGGTCCAGAGAAGTGCAAATTCTGACTCTGGCTCAGCGTCACCTGGGAGCTTGTGAGAATCACAGACTCAGAATCTGCATTTTAACAAGATCTCCAGGTGATGTGTATGCACGTTAAAGGGAGAGAAGCACCTACCTCACTGGGTTTTTGTGAGGATTCAAGGAGACGGTGAAGCATTTGGTAAGAGCTCACTAAACGTCAGCTGCCGCCACCATCACCACCACCATCACCACACTGCGTGTCACTGCTTCTATCCTACATGCTCCCGCACTGCCTCCCCAGGGGGTAACAAACACAGGAGTTTTGAGGACTCTGGCAGAGCTCATGAAGCCTCTTGCTGGAGTCCTCCCGCAGCTGGAGAGTTAAAGCTCCGGGAGTGCCCAGCCCAGCCCCCATATAGCAGAAGAGGTTCCCCCCACCCTGGCCTCCCTCCACCCTCACCCCAGACCCTGGGAGTGGGTAGAGAGGGTGACTAAAGCCGGAGAGGCTGAGTAATCCTGGGATACCAACCAGGGATTGAGAAACAGACAGGAAATAATTTCAAAGAACAGCACCAAAGGGGGAGTGGCAAAAGAGAAAGCCGAGGAGAGATGAGCCCCGGCCTTTCCGCCTCCTCACTCCAGCGCTCAGGTTTCCACAGCCTCCATTTCAAGCCCCAAATCTCCGCCGTCCGAGGGCCTTCGGGGGGCGGGGAAGTAGGTTGGGTGGGAGGGAGCAGCGCCCACTTCCTCCTCTCCTTCCTCCGGCTGCGCCCCTCCCCCAGCCCTTTCATTGCACGGACGTTTCCTCCGTTTTCCCTAATTAATTCCAGGAGGGAGCGGGTCCTCGACCGCGCTGCTCCCTCCCCTCCCCGCCCCCCCCCCGGAATGGAAGCAATGGGGGAGGGGGCTCAGATCCGGCTTCAAGAGCCAGGGTTCCAGAGTGATTTAGGGGTCAAGAGGGGAGACTGTCAGAGGCGCCAGAGAGAGAGAGAGACAGAGAGAGGGAGAGAGAAAGGGGAAGAAATGGGGAGAAACAGGGAGAAGGGAGGCAGAAAGAGAAAGCTAGGAAATAGATTTGACTGGGTAACTGGAAGCCAGGCCCACCCACATCCTACATGCACCCACGATCTCTAAGGAGCACCCTAAGGGCCACCCGAGCAGATGAAATGACAAAGCGAGCCCCGCTACCTCCTCCCCAGAAGCCCAGACCTGATGTTAGCCTGGGCCCTACGGGATGCAGTGAAGCTGGGCTGGACCGGGAGGGAGGAAGATGGGGAAACCCAGAGTGTAAGAGAAACGGGCTGCCCTTGAGTTCCGTCCGGTCAGCTCTGCCGCGAAGGAGCCAGCCGTGTGACCCTGACCGAGGCCCTGCCTGACCCCCAACCTCAGTTGGATTGAAGGCTCTGACCTTCTGTGGAATCAAGTCTCCAATGGCCCCCCCTACCTTCTAACCCTGCAAGACATACACTGGGCAGGAACCAGGATCTTCCCTGAGTCCAAGGAGAAACAGATTTTGAAGAGCAGCAAGAAAGAACCTGGGCATCCTCTGGCCTGGAGGAGGTGAGAGCGCTGCCAGCCTCTCTCCTCAGGGAAGCACCTCCCAGCCCCATCCTCCCCGCTCCTCCCGCCCTGCCCTCCCCACCCCGGGGCTGAGGGCAGCAACTCCAAGCAGTCCAGGAGGCCTGGTGAGACTCAGCCAGGGCCAGCTGAGCCACAGGCTGCAGCCTCCTTGAGAGCACACCTCCCCCTCAAAGGTTTATTTAAAAAGCCTCCCAAGTACACTTGCTCTCCCGCCTGCTTACTCCTCCTCAGCAGCCCCACAGGCCTGGCTGGGCTGGACTCCAGGAACCTCTCTGGCTCCAGGGCCAGGAAGGGGGTGTGAAAGTGAGAGTAGGGCCTGACCCTGCCACCTCCACCCCCAAGGTCCATCCCCCCAGCTGACACCCGGCTCGGGCCCTGTGTGGGCCAGAGGGGTGGAGCCCTGACAGGGGAGCCAGACTGCGGTGACCCGGGGGCCTTCTGGGAGGGTCTGGGGCTATAAATACTCCATTTCTGTTTTTAAAATCTGGATTTAGGCTAAAAAGTCTGCTTCCTGGCCTTAGGGCTCAAAGCCACAACAGCTAAAATATACCTTACTGTCTGTTTACTTCCCTCAAGAACCCAACTTGGCATCTCCTCAGACCCAGCTAACTCCCTCTTTCCTACTCAGTATCTGGCCTCTCTAGAGCTACAGCAGCTCTCCCACTCCCACTCCCACGCCGAACCGGGGTCAGCTCTGTCCCAGAAGGCTGGCCCCCCGCCCCTTCTCCCTTCCTCTTCACCACCCACGGCCTCGCCCCACTGGGCCTCACAGACATCCGGGGAAGGTTTGCCAGATTTAACAAATAAAAATAAAGGGTGCCCAGTTAAATCTGAATTTCATATAATTTTTTTTTTTTTTTTTGGTACAGTATGTCCCAGTCCTAACATTTGGAACCTACTCATGCTAAAATATGACTTGTTGTTTATCTGAAGTTACAATTAACGGGTCATCCTGTATTTTATCTAGAACCCTAATCTGGGAGAATAACGCAGCATTAAGAGAAGTTCGGCCTCTAAACTTATTCAGCTAAAAGGGAAACTGAGGCTGAATGGAAAGGCAGACACGGTCACTGGTATACAAAGGGCATGAATTTAGGAGTCGGGCTGGCTTAGGATTGCCAGTTTGCAGCTCAAAATGGGGGCCCTGGAGCAAGCGACTTCTTGGTTCCCTCATCTGTCAAATGGAAGGAATTAGACCTGCCTTGCAGAGCTGGTGAGAGGATCCACTGACACGTGGCCCATCAGGTTTGCCTAGCATCAAGTTTGGGGCAGCGCACAGGCACAACTGTAGTGATTACAGTTCTGACTTTACTTGGTTCTCTACCCACCAGGCCTCCAGACATGCTGGACAGTCAGGCTCTCGGTTCACTATGTAAGGCCACTGCCGGCTTCCATATAAGCCCAGGACTGGCTTCTCCAGAAGCTAGTCCTTATTAGCAGGCGTTATTCTAACTCTACCTTCTATCCCACCATGGGTCAAAAAAGATAATCGTTAATCAATTTTCACCATTGCGTATCATGCCCTTCCTCTCTGCCAATCCTATGCTGAGGCCTTACATTCTGCCCTCACGACACCACAGTGAGATCTGTTATTATCGTACGGATTTTGTAGTCAGTGAAACTGCGGCCCAGAGGGGCTTAGTCACTTGCCTGATGACTCACAGCTTAGTGGTGGCACCAGGATTTGAATCCAGGCTGGCCTGCCTCCAAAGCCTGTGCTCTTAAGTACTAGTGATATTACTCTGCCCCGCTCCGTCCCCACTGGCTCAGGACTCTTCTTACTTTTCAGGGATGAAAACCATCACCTGAATCTCTATTGTTGAAGTTCTTTGTTAGCCTTGTGGGAAAAGCAAAATCCTGCTCTGCAAGTGGGGGCAACCAAAAAAGACAGTGTGTGCTCTGGACACTCATGTCCAGAGTGCGTGCTCCCTGCTGGGAGGATCCACACCCACTTCCATGGATTGAGGGCATGTATGTGCCAGGCCCAGTACTATGTGCTTTACGGTATCATCTCACTGAATCCTTACAACAATCCTTTGAGGTCGCTGTCCCCATTTTCTCGTCTGAGGAAACTGAGGTTTAGAGAGATTAAGCAAACTGATCAAAGTCACAAAGGTAGTTAGCGGCAGAGCTAGGACCTGACCTATAGTTGTCCCTTCCAAGGCTAGAATTTTAACCACTACTCCCTACTTCCCCTGCAAGGATCTTTCCCTGTTCATTCCCCTCTGGGCATCCCAGGACCACCCCCATCCCTCAGCTATTCCCTAACCCGGCTTTATATCCTGGAATTATGGGCTGCCTCAGATCGGCTGAAAGGTCCAGAGGAACCACATAGGTGGAAAGCCAGTCTCAGGGCACGGTGCTGTGGGATGCACCCCAGAACCCCAGGTCTCCCACCCCACACATGCTGGCACAACTTACCACTGGCGGAGGCCAAGATCATGGCTTGCAGCATCTCTGTGTCAAACTGGTTGTTGGGCCAGGTGCCGGTTTCATCGCCATTTTGGGATCTGCGGAGAGAATGGGATGGTGATCACGGTCTCCCAAGCCACCAGCTCATGCCCCTCGTGTCCTCTCCCAGGGCTCCCACATCCAGTGCCTATCCCCAGCCCATGCCCAAGACCTGCTGCCTTCCAGCAAGGTAGGAGGCAGATTATACAATCCTTCAGAAGCCAGACCCCGCCCCATTTGCCAGTCCCCCAAACCAGCTTTCTACTGTTTCAGACACCATGGCCCTTCGAGGGAGAGGGCAGGATGCACTGAAGCTTGCCCCGCCTTGAGGGAGCAGTGGCTCACAGTGAGGGAGAGCAGACCCTCTCCTGAGGACAGTGAGGGTGGGAAATGGGAGAGAATGTACCAGAACTTGACAAAGGTGAGAGGACCTCGGGGGAGAGGCTGGGGGCCCCACGAGACAGGGAGAGAGGTTTCTAAAACTCAAGTCTGATCACTTCAGTGGCTCGCTGAGCCCTCAGGATAAAATCCACGGGCACACAAGGACCAGCCCCTCCTATTTCACAAGAACACCCCCAACCTCGCTCTCAAACATTCTATCAGAAACCTTTTCTGAGGCACTTTCCCTAATTCCTCAAACTCTCTCTTGTGGCACACCATTCCCTAGAATGCAAGTTCCCTACCTCTGCCTTGGTAACATGAATAGGTTGCCAGAGGGGACCCCTAAGCCCACCCAGGCTGGGTTAGGTGCCTCCGCTGTGCTCCCACCCCCACTGTCTGCCCTGCGGTGGCTCTAGTCCCACTGTGACTGCCACTGTCCCCACCTGTCCGCTCCACCCCCAGACCCAGCTCCTTGAGCTCTGGGACCAGGACTGTGCCCGTTTTCTACTGAAGCACCTAGTTAAGAGCTTTAGATGCTCTAAACATTGAGAAAAACACGAGGTGATTCCTAATTGTTAAAAATGTTAATGTGTAAAAGAACTCTAAGGGATGCTAGCCCAACTTGGATTTTTCCCATAGTAACTATTTCCATGCTTTGGGGGGGAATTTTCAGGGATCAAATGATTTCCATTTTTGAGGGGAAGGGGAAGCAGCCTGACACACACGTCTATTAGTCGACCTTTGCACCATCTGGAACACTAAAGTTCCTCAATAAATGTTTGTTGCCTGAATGAATGGGGAAAGCCCTGCCCAGAAAGTTAGGCTCACTATGAGGTAAGAAGGGTTTGGCACCAGGGCAGGGGCTGCAGGGAATGCCTTGAAGGCAAGAAAGAGTGTGTGTGTGTGTCTGTGTGTGTATTTTGTCACAGCGGCTGAGCACAGTCAAGAGCTGTTTTACAATTTTTCCAAGGTCTGTCCCTGCTTATGGTTTCCCCGATCTGGAACTCCCATCCCCAGGCAGGCGGACTCAGTCTAACGCTCAGGCCAGCTGCTGTGTGGTGCCCCCTACGGTGTCACAGCAAATGTAGAGGTAGGGGTGGAGGAGAAAGCAGGAATGTCATTTCTCCCTCCACAGAATGGGAAGAGCTGGGATTCTGGGTTCATTTATTCAATCAATATTTATTGAGCAAGTACTGTGTGCCAGACACAGGACTAGGTGCTGGGTTTGTAGCTGTGAACATGACTGAAATAGTCTGACTTCACCATGCTCGATCTCCGTGGAGAGGCTGATATTAAATAATTACACAATAATTGAATTGTAATTGTGACAAGCAAGTGCCATGGAGGCAAAGAGCAGGGGTACAGGAGAGTTCTGCCTAGTTGGGGTTAGGGAGCCAGTCAGTCCAGGCTTCCTCAAGGAAAGGACAGGGTATTTAAATCTGAAGAGGCTATCCAGGTGATCTGCAGGAGAATGCCAGCCAAACAAACGTAGGAGGAGCGATAGAAAATCAACACTGTGTGACTGCTGATGTAAAAACCGATTCAGGCAAGGCTCATCAGTGAATACTAAAAGCAGCGAAAGGTTGCTGCACAGTCTCATATATCACCCACAGATTACTTATTAATCACCAATATTTAAAAATATCTTTGTAACAGAGAGATCTGGGAATACCACTTTAACCCAGGGAACAAATTGACAGGAAATGCTTCCCAGCAGAAAGTGTACAATGACCCCCACGCAGTATTCTTATCAGACTCTGTAAGCTGATCTCACCATGAGAAAATGATCAGCAAATCCAGACTGTGGGACATTTTGAAAGACAACTGGCCTGGACTCTTTAAAACATGTCTATGTCTTAAAAAAAAACAACCCTCCAAAAGGTAAGGAGGCTGTTTTAGATTAAAGGAGATGAAAGAGAGGTAGCAAGCAAATGCAATTCATGTTCCTTGATTGAATTCTGGAGTTAAAAGAAAAAAAAAATACAGGTTGAAAGGACATTTGGGGAACATTTATGAAAATCTGCTAGTAGACTGTATATTATTGCATTAATGTTAAATTCTTCAAATGTGATCATTCTTTTGTGGTTATGTACGAGAATGTTATTGTTATCAGGAGAGAGATACTGAAGTGTTTCAAGTGTTATGATGTCTGCAACTCTCAAATGGATCAGAAAAAAAAGTGTGTGAGGTAGGTGTGTGTGTGTGTGTGTGTGTGTGTGTGCACGCATGTTGAGAGACAGAGAGAGAGGAGAAAGTAAATGTGCAAAATATTAACGATCGATGAATCTAGGTTTAAAAGAGTATTTGGATGTTCATCATACGATTCTTTCAACTTTGAGGTTTGAAGCATTTCAGAGTAAAAAACTGAGGCGTAAAATTAAGCTAACTAGGAGAAGGGCAGTGTTGTGAAAGCTTTCCAGGCAGAGGGAGCAATACGCCCCAGCCTCTGAGGCTGGGAGGACCTTGGTGAGTTCAAACCACTAAGAGAAAACCAGCGTGGCTGCCATAAGGCGCAGTGGCGTCAGGGCCTGGGGCTGCAGAGTGCACACTAAAGATCTTGGTCTCATCCTAAGAGCTCTGGGAAGCCACTTTAGTATATAAAAGGGGGGTTGTCATGATCGGATTTAAGTATTTAAAGGTCATGGTTGCTCCTATGAGAAGACTGCGGGTTGGGGGTACCTCTGGGAGGACGGGAGCCCAGTGATGGAGCCTCAGCCACCTCTGTCTCCATGAAAATCCAGGAGTCCTTACTTGCAGGCAGACTGAGCTCTCTCTGGGCCTGCCTGGGGGCGCAGGGCTGAGGCAGGTGGCCTCAGGCCGAGGTGAAGGGCCTAATGGGGAAAGAGTGGGGAGAGCAGGTAGGGGGGTGAGCAGCAGGGAGAAGAGCTTTGGGGCTGTGGGGTAGACAACAGGGTCGGACACCAGGTTAGGATGCCCTGTGGTGGTGGGTGATGGTGTTGAGGGAATAAAGGTGAGTGGAAGGGTGGGCCTGGAACCATGATGGCCTGGGCGGAAAGGATTCTTGGGAAATGATTGAAGGCTAGAGGCCAAGCACGTGGGCAGGAGATGAATAGAGAGACAGACTTCTTTTTGAACCATTTACTCAGAACTTCTTATTTCTGGGTAGTGGGCTGACTAAATTATATACATATTGTCTATTTCAGCCTCAGAACCACCTACAGATTAGTGTTATTATCCCTATTTCCCAGCAGATGAAACTGGGCTCAGAGAGGTTGAGAGACTTTCCCAAAATCACACAGCTGGCAACAGGCAGAACTACAACCTGTACCCACTATGTGCCAGTGCCTGTGACAGGCCCTAGGATTTAAGAGGTGATATGATTCTTGCCCTAAGAAGTTTGTATTCTAGTGTGCTGTGTGCGCGCGTGTGTGAGGGGCAGTCCCAGAGACTGGGTTGTAAAATTATGAGTGCTTTTTCTTTTAAACTGTTTTCTCTATTTCTCATGTTTCTATAATGAGCGTGGGTTATTTTATAAGCAGAAAAAAATAAGATGCTATTTGTTTGTTGAATGACTGCCCAAACTGAGGGAGAGCAGGGATAGTGTCTCTCAGGGGAGGTGGAACAGAAGGGGAAATGGCAGTTGTGGAGCCATCCAAGGAGAACAGTGTGGGGACCAGGGAAAGCCAAATGGAGACCCTCCTCTGGGCAGAGGCTGGGAACAGCTGCAGGGCGGGGCCTGGGGTGCAGCCTGAGAAAGGAGAACTGGCTTGCTGGGCTCAGGGCTTGAGACAACAGCTGTTGGGATCAGAAGCCAAAAGGAGGACCTGAGCAGGGGGTAGCGGTGGAGAGGAGCAACACCTGGCAGGCAGGGACTTCCTTTTGTCGAGGCAATGGGACAGGGCGCTGGCTTGAACTTGAACCAGGTTTACTGAAGAACTCAACGCTAGCCCTGCTCTGAACCTGGTGTCCCAGTAGCCAAGATAGGCCAGAGAAGCAGTGGGGAGCCAGAGCCAGGGTTAGACTGAATAAGAGAAATCTCCCCTCTTCATCTTCTCACCCTCATTGACTCCTTCGAACGGCAGCAAAGAAAACGTGCATCATTCTGCTGAGCCTGAGAGGCCTCACCGCAGGACCTTTGCACATGCTCTTCCCTCCACCTGGAATGCTCTTCCCTGTTTCCTTCAGCTGGTTAATCCACAGCCTCATTTCCTCCTGGATGTCCTCCTGCTCCCTGACCAGGTCAGATCCCTATTTTATACTCTCACCACCAGGAACTGCTCTTCACAGCACTTACGGTAGCTGTAATCTTACTATTTTTTTTGAGTAATTATTTGGTTCATATCTGTCTCCCTCAACACACTGTAAACTCCCTAAGGCAGAGGTTATGTCTATCTTATATCTCCTACACCTAGAATACTACCTGTCCTACGGTAGGTGCTTATTAACTATTTATTGAATGAACAAAAGGGGGAAGTTATAGTTGCTGGACTGGGCCCCTAACATTTGACTTCATCTGGGCCGCTGTGCAGCTGAATCATAAATGTTGTTCCATCCCCCTCAAGTTAACTAAGGAAGGGAGAGCCCTGCACCTTCTCCTCCATCTCCCCAAGAGCTCCCTCATGTACTTTAGGCCACCAAGTCTCTCATTTGATGAAAAGGGACTTGAGGCAGCCAGTCTAGAAGGCACGTAAGAGTCAAACGGCTAATAAGGACCTGCTGTAGAGCACAGGGAACTCTACTCAATACTCTGTAATGACCCATATGGGAAAAGAATCTAAAAAAGAGTGGATATGTGAATATGTGTAACTGATTCACTTTGCGGTGCACCTGAAACTAACACAATATTGTAAATCAACTATACTCCAATAAAAATTATTTTAAAAAAAGGAGTCAATTGGTGGGGCTCTCAAGTTCAGCAATGAATTCTGCTTCAGGGCCAGTATATGGCCTGGGGTGGCGGTGGGTAAAGGGAACATGAATTGCCCTGTACTTCTCATCACCTCAGCTCAAATGGCACCTCCTCCTGGAGGTCTTCTCTATCCCCCTCCCCCATTACACTCACATGACCCTCCTCCCAGAACTTGCTACGATTTGTAACTAGAAATTTTTTTAGTGTGATTTGTTGTCAATTTTCTGTGTTCCCTGCTGGCATGGCAGCCTGTAAGTGCAAAGATCGTGTCTGCTTGTTCACTCTTACAGGCCAATGTTTAGCACAGGGCCTGGCTCACAGTATATGCTCAATAAATATTTGTTGAATGAATAAATACATGAACGAATACATGAACGACCTAACGGATAAAACTGTGGGAAGGCTGGCAAGACCAGCAGGGAGAAAGGAGAAAGCTGGGGTCAAGGGAGGGGCAAGGGCAGTCCAAGCCATCTGGTTTGCTGCCTTCTAGGGGCCTGTAACTAACTGCCTTGAGACCTCGGCAGGACTCACATGCCCAGGAGCTGGAGTCTCCACCGTACACCAAGGTGTCCTGGGTTCTTGTGGCAGTGAGGGCTCAGCATCTGGGGAATGTGGGCAGCAAGTGTCCAACCAGTGAGGAGGTGGGGAAGGCAGCCCAAGCTCTGCCCTCCGTCTCCTGGGCTTCTTGGACTCCACCAGGCTCCCAGGGTCACCAGACTTCTAACAGGGAGGCCTGGCCCAGAGCTGACCCCACTCCCCTCAGACCCACTGCAGGTCTTTTGCTGAAGTCCTCCTCCCCTCCACCCCACCCCCGCCCGCTCGCCCCAGGGAGTTCCTGTCTTAGCAGGAATTCATACCAGATTGATCTGAGCAGCTGGGGCAGCCTGGATGGGAGGGTGTATGGTGGAGAGCAGAGATCAAAGGCTCTGTCTGTGAGGGGCTGGGGAGGGAGAGAGCCTGGGGGGCGGGCATGTGTGTGCTGGCTTGCCCACAAGTTTTAGGAAATGAGAGACAGAGAGCGGGACACAGAGTAAAAGACAGGATAAAAGAGAGAGAGAGAGAGAGAGATAAAGAAAGAGCAACAGAGAAAGAGACCCATTAAGGCAAAAAGAGACAGACAAGAGACTTAGAGAGATATACAGAGAGAGACAGAGACAAAGACAAAGGAGACACAGAGAGGCTGAGAACAGAGAAGAAAGGAGAAACAGTGAGAGGGAGAGAAAGAGACTGGAGACAGAAGAACACCAGGACACTAGGAAATGATGAAAGAAGGAGAGACAGAAGAGAGGTCAAGGACAGAGACAGGGAAGCAGAGACAGAGGGAAAAGGAGAAACAGAGACTGAGACTAAGGCGGAGTCACGTTTATTCATTGATTCCACATTTATTGAGCACCTAGCCATAGCAGGCGCAGCAAGAGGCACAGATCAGTGCAAGTAGACACAAATGGTAGGGACCAAGATACAGCAATAAAGAAAGAAACTGAGACGGAGACGAGAAAGAGAGGGAGAGGCAGAGATTGCAAACTAGCATAGGGACTGAGCCGAGGACGGTGAGAGAGTGTCAGAGACAAAGGGCCTGCAGGCAGAGAAGGCTGCAGGCTCTCCGTCCCCAGCCCCACCGCCAGCTGCCTGACCTCCCTCCCCTCAGCCTCGGCTCTTTCCTGCCGGCTCAGGAGGAGGCTCTGGCTGCTGACAGCTCCTCCCCTCCTCCTCCTGTCCCAGATTCCTCTGCCTGAACCCCAGTCAGGACGGAGGCCAGCCAAATCTGGAGCAGGAGGATGGAGCCGGTGGATAGGTATAAAAACCTTCCTCTCCGCCCAGAGACCTCCTTGAGGCCATCCTTTGCTCCCACGGAGCCCCCAAGATACAGGAGAAGGTTTGTGTGGTGGGGCGCAGGGAAGGGATGAGTGTGTGAATTGCGTTTCCAAAATAGCCAGAGTAGGAGCGTCTTCCTTCTGGGGTTTGTGTACCAGCCGCCAACGTACCAAAACCTCCCTGAAATCTGGAACTGAGGGAGGAAGCCATTTGTAGCGAATGCTGAGCCCTCCCCCCATCTCCTCCCACGTCATCACTGAGAAAAATGTCGCAGAGGAGAGGGTGGGCTGGAGAGGCAGTCACCTACCCGCTGGTGCCGGGTCTCTGGGCCTGGGAGAAACGCCAGTCCGTGTTGGGCGGGGCTTGCTGTGGAGAAAACAGAGGGAAAGGGGCTGAGTACCCAAATGGGGTAAGATGAGGGCGAGGTAGGCTCATTTTCAAAGACAAAATATACCTCAGGTCTCAGAGGTCTGAGGTAACAGAGACAAAGAGATAAAATCACAGTTATCTGACCACAGTGAGCAAACCCAGATTCCTTTCCTAAGGAACCGGCCCCTTCCTCCCTGCCCCCAGACTCAGAACTTCTGAGCAGAGATTCAAGGGCTGAAAGCATCTTCTGTGAAACCGGGGGGAGGGGTGCAGAGAAGGCCCCCAAAAGTCGCAGAGGAGGTTTTTACATGGGAATTCCACCAGCCCTAGAAAGAATTTCATTCAGCTCCTCAGCTGGGAACAAAGCAGCCTCTGCGGCAAGATGGCTGCCGCTCTGGGTAACCCTTTTCATGCCAGGTTGTGCCTTTACACATTCAGAAGGACACCTCCTTCAGACCCCTGGCTCTCAAGGATCCCTTCCCACAGCTAAATACATTATTAATTTAGGAGTTATGCCAGACTGGGCCTTTGGATGGCAGGGCATCCAAGCCCCAGGACACCTCCCACCCCCAGAACTCTGTGCCAGACAATGGCTTTGACTAAGGAGGAGAGAACAAGGCAGCTCTGTCTGGAACAGAGAGAACTGCTGGGATGGAGCCCGGCAGAGATCAAGCTCCCACAGGCTCCAAGGAGAGCCAACGCAATCTCCAGGGCTCCCAAGGGGCAGATCTGTAGCCCTCGCCCACCTGGATGAAGGTGTGGGACTCTAGCCAGCCACTTCACTTCCAAGACCCTCCCAGCCTTTGCAGAGGGTGTATTATCCCATCACGCACTCTCATGGAGCACTTCTAGAGCCATTTCCTCTCCATTCTGGGGTGCTCTGGTAATTGTCACACTCACTCCCAGGAGCAGAGAGGGAGGGGTGAGCACCTCCGACTACACTGGGGAGAAGGAAGACCCAGGGCTGCCGAATGACCCACTCTAAGTCTCACAGGTGGCAGTGATGTAAGCAGAACCCAGAAACTTAGCATCCCAGGTACAAAAGGAGTTACAAGCACCATTCTGGAGCTGCCATGGGGAAGGGTACAGGGATGTCCAGCTCTCAGTTACTATATTCTTAGACACAGCAGAATCTACATGGAGATGCAGGCACCATGACAGACTGGAGGACAGGAGCTAGGCCAACTCACAACCTACATAAGGACAGCGGGTCCACGTTTGTTCAATTAGGGATGCTCAGGAATAAGGAGCCCCAGTAGCCTTTTCTTCACGTGTTAGGCTCTAAAAGGGAAAGAATGCCCCCCTTTGCCTCATCCCAGCAGACACAGACCGTCTCTCCTGTTCTCCAGTTTTACAAGTACCAAGTGATTGAAAGCACAAATTCTGGAGTTAAGACAGACCTAGATTAGATCTTTTTCGACCACTTACCCTGTGAACTTGAGCAAGTCACTTGAGCTCTGTGAAACTCAGTTATAAGAGGGAGGATTCTAGGACCTACCCAACAAGTGTGGGGAAGAGCAAAGGAGACGTGGTTCTCTAAGAGGAAGTTGTAGTAAGGCTCTCTCAATTAGCCATCAGAATCACATGGGGGTGTTGTTCCAAACTATAATTCTGATTCAAGGGGCAGGATGGGGTACAGACATATTTTGAATAAAAGCTTCTGGAGTTACAGAAACGTGTGCTTTTTACCATTATAGTTTCCCCATGTACGCAAGCACCCTGCTGGCTTCTGGCAGAGAGGCCATGGCTTTCCAACAACCAGGGAAAGAAAGACTTGCCAGAGTGTCAGATAATTTGGTCACTCCCAAAGCCCTGATCCTAGATCGCTGGGCACATGTGGTGACGACGGAGCCAAAAGCCTACGTCTTAGCATCCAGAGCCCAGGTGTTCCAGGGTCCCACTTCCCACCAGAAGACAGGTCGGTGGTGCCACAGAGGGCCCAGGCGGCCTGTCCTATAGAGGCCTGTTCGCTCGTCCCAGGCCGGGCCCCGCCGTCCCTTGGGCCACAGGGCAGCCTGGCCGACCCGAGCTAGGCTTCTTGGCTGGAGGCACCGCCGGCCTCCGCTCTGAGCCCTGGGCCCGGCAGGATCCGCCAGCCCGCGGGTCATAGAGTGCTGCCCGCCCCGCGCCTAGAGCGCCCAGAGTGGCTACACTGCGGGCGACTCTGGCTCGTCAGGAGGCGACCGGTCCAGGTCCGGGCGGGGGCGGGAGGCGGCTCCAGAGTCGTCAGGGGCAGGACGGCCACAACTTGGGCGCGCTCAGTCAGTACCTCTGAGGCGAGCAGCAGGGTGGGAGGGAAGCTGTGAGCGGGCTGGAACAGCCAGTGTACCTGGCAGCGAGCGGCTGGCAGTAAAAGGCGGTGTACGTGGAAGACCAAGTGCGAGGGGGCGTGTGCGTGCGCGGGTGAGGCGCTGCGAGCCCGTGCGCGGTGCGTGGCTCGTGCGGGCCCTGAGGGCACGCTTCTGCTCTGTCCACAGACGCATTGGTTTGATGTGGGAATAGAGAGGGTTGGGAATAACAGCGAGGCCACAGGTCAAGGGAGTGGGGAGAAACCTAAGAAGAAACCTCAGGACCAGTGGAGCGTGCCCGCACCGGAGCCTCAGAGGCTGGCTGCAGGCGTGGATCTGTGACCGCCTCCACCCGGACCCCGGACCTGGCGGAAATCGCCAGAATGATCGCCAGACCCCAGGCTTTTCTGAATGTGGGGTCGGTCCTTTCCTGTCTCCCCCTCAACCACAATCACCATCACCTCCCCGGGCTCAGAGCCCCCATCCCTGCCTCGGCCACACCTCTGGTTCCACACAATCCGTCCAAACAGTCCCGACATTCGGGCCAAGCCCGCACCAGAGGAGCGGATGCCAAGTTCAAAGTCCCTGATGTGGCTGGGCGGCTTCTCCATTGCCGCCCCCAGGGGTCGCGCTGAGCCCCTCACCTGGCTCCGCTCCCGCAGCGTGTTAGAGCGGGACCGGAAGGTGTCAGGCTCCTGTGCCAGAGCTGAGGGCTGCTGGACGCTGAGGGGCCTTAGAAAAGTGAAGTCACTGCCGTCCGAGGCTGGTGAAAAGCACGTCCTGTAGCAATGGCTGTGCGAGTCTGTGGGCCGCAGCGTCACCTCCATGTACTTGAGTGTGCCGTCTGAGCTCACCTGTAGGTTGGGGCCGGACTGCTTATAGAACTCCCGGGAGGGCGAGTCCTGGCGCCCACAGCACTCACCCCCACCCCCATCCCCGTCTGCGTGCCCCCGAAGGCACTTAGCTGACAGAAAGGTGAAGGTGACTAAGGATAAGAGACTGACGGCCACAAGAGCCACAATGAGATAAAGGGTAAGGTCTGAATGCTCAGGAGGGTGTGTGAGGAAGTCGCTGGATTTGGGCATTTCCTCAGGGTCCTTATCCTCCAGAATCAGAAGCACTGTGGCTGTAGAGGAGAGTGAAGGGTCACCATTGTCCCTCACCAGGACCACAACCTGCTGGGTGTCAGGGTCATCCTCCAGTAAGGCCCGGGCTGTTCGCACCTCACCAGTGTGTGCAGACACCAGGAACAGTCCTGGGGCTGTGGACTGTGGCAACAGTGAATAGGAGAGCCAGGCATTGTGGCCTGCGTCAGCATCTACGGCTGTCACCTTGGTGACGAAGGAGCCAGGAGGGGCAGAGCGAGGGAGACGCTGGGGGACCGAGAGATCCCGGCCTGGTCTGGGGTGCAGCACGGCTGGGGCATTATCATTCTGGTCCAGGACAAACACATGGAGAGATGCGTTGGCGTGCAATGGGGGAGAGCCAGAGTCTCGAACGCCCACCACGATCTGCAGCATCTGCAACAATTCGTAGTCGAAAGTGCGCTGGGCAAACACCCGCCCATCCGCAGGGTTGACATACACAAAGGAGGAGGCTGGGGCTCCCTGAATCTGATGCCCTGCAATGAAGTAGGTGAGGCGAGCATTTTCCCCAGTGTCTGGATCAGAGGCAGCCACGGTGCAGAGAAGGGAGCCTGGAGGCCGGTTTTCTGGGATGTAAGCAGTGTAGAGCTGCTGGGTGAAGTAGGGTGCATTGTCGTTTACATCTGAAATGTTGAGCCTGACGGTGAGATGGGCGTGCAAGGGAGGTGAGCCCCCATCGCGGGCCAGCAGCTCAATGATATAGTGGGATGTGGCCTCGCGGTCCAAAGGCTGGCTGGTTAGCAGTGAGTAGTGGTTCTCAGAAGGCTTAATCTGAAACGGCAGGCCCGAAGAGATACCAAGGCTCACTTCTCCGTTTCTCCCTGAGTCTCGGTCCCGCACATTAAATAATCCCACTACTATGCCCACTGGTGTGCTCTCCAGGACAGGGTTGACCAAAGAGGCCAATAGTACCTCTGGGGCGTTGTCATTCGCATCCCCCACATCCACTTGAATCACACAGTGGCCTTCCATGGCTGGCTGTCCTTGGTCACGGGCTCTTGCATGAATTTCATAGAAACTTGATTCCTCAAAGTCTATGGGACCCAACACACGGATTGCTCCACTGCTAGGGTCTAGGCCAAAGAGATTCCGCACTGCCTCAGAGGTATGGTCTCCAAAGGAATAGTCTAGTTGGCCATTGGTGCCTTCATCTGGATCAGTGGCATTGAGGCGGAGCAGCAGTGTACCCACGGGTGCATTCTCTGGGAGTCCCACACGTAGAACTGAGGACTGGAAGGCTGGAGCATTATCATTGATGTCCAGCACAGTGATGGAGATAAGGGTGGTCCCCGAGCGGGGTGGGATACCCCCATCCACAGCAGTGAGCACCAGCTGATGGCTTGCCTGGGCTTCACGGTCCAGCTGCTGCTCTAGTACCAGCTCTGGGAACAGCTTCCCATCTTTTAGGGTCTTCACATTCAGAGAGAAGTGGCTACTGGGGCTCAGAGTATAGAAGCTCACGGTATTGGTACCCACGTCTGGATCCTGGGCGCTATCCAGTGGGAACAGTGCCCCAAGTGCAGCTGATTCTGAGATGCGTATCTCTCGCTCAGGGGTGGCAAAGCTAGGAGAGTTGTCATTGAGATCCAGGATTTCTACCTCTACACGGATTAGTTCCAGCGGGTGTTCGGTCACCACCTGTAGTGGCAGCAGGCAGCTGGTGCTGGCTCCACACAGGCTCTCTCGGTCAATTTTCTGATTCACTGCCAGAGCACCACTCACCAAGCTCAGGGAAAAATAATGCCCACTCTCCTCAGAGCCCAACCGCAGCCGGCGGCTCAACAGATCTGTCAGCTTTAAGCCTAGATCCTGAGCAACGTTCCCCACCAGCGTCCCCGGCTCAGACTCCTCCACCACTGAGTAACGAAGCTGCCCAGACACCCAGCCCCAGGAGCACAAGGACAACATGCACAGCACTTGCCATTTCCCAGCGAGCTGCGGGGGTGTCTTGGGCCCCATGACCCAGAAGTCCCTTCCTGGACACTGACTCTGTGCTGTCCTGTCTCGAAGGCAGACCCAGGGCTTGGGATGTAGCAGCTGAAATCTCTTATGTCTCCTTCCAGCCTCTTAAAAAACTGCTCCGAGGTTTGTCTGCCTGCAGCAGTTCTTCTTAGTCACCAAATGGCGGGGGTGGGTTGGGGGGGGGAGGGGAATCGAATCTGAGTGGAGCTGGGGAGCTGGGGGAGGAGAGGCGGGCAGGAAGAGCAGATCCCCCACCTTGGCTCTGAGTCTGATTGGCCCAAAAGTCTGTGCTCCCAACCAATTATCAAGTCTCCTCAGTCCTGGAAACCTTAGGAACAGGCGCTGCAAATCTGTGTCACAGAAGCCTCCTACCTCCCCACTCATTTCATGCTGCAGGTTGATTCAGCCCCCTTGGCAGCTCAGATGGTGCTCAACAGGGAAGACAAAGTGGTACAGAACTTCTCAGTGCTCTGTCCCAGCAACTTCCTGCATGACTTCAGAAGCTCCCACTACTTTGCTTGAACCAACAAAATTTTGTCCTTCTCAGGGAGGCAAAGCCCATGTGTTAGCCCCTCCCTACCCCATCCTACCAGACACTGCCAAGGTGAGAGAAAAGATTTGTTAGGACCCTTTAGAGTCTTGCTCGGACTCTCCAGCAGTACTTCGAGGAATCTCGGTGTCAGCTGATGGCTATAAGGATTCAATTTTTCTGAGATCCCAGACTTTAGCTATGGAATAGGCATCACAGCTTGTGATAGGAGGAACATTTCTAGGACTGATCCAGGTCACCCAGGGAAGGTGACTAGAGTCTAGGCATGGCCTCTAGGCTTTATGGTTTCATCAATTCAGAAGAAACTACTTAAAGACTCCCATAGTGGCTGTCTCTATGAATTCCTCAGCAGTAAAACAGGTTTAGATATTTAGTGATTTCACTTATTGCCTTTTCCTCCCAAAGAGGTCATGTTCCCCTGTCCCAATCTACTGAATCTAGCTCAAATCCCAGCGGGGACTTGATTGGGAGTCCTGAAGACCTGGACGAAAAGATCCCTGCTTCCACCTTGATGCCTCTCTACTCCCTGGACTCTTTCTTCTTTTTGCTCTCTGCTATGTTTCAAGCAGAGAATCCCTTTCACCGTAGATTAGGGAGTAGATGATACTGTGGGGCAAAGATATTAGCTCCCCTTAACCTAGAGTTAAGGTGTTCCAGACCCTGGCCCCCTCATTCAGGAAGAGTAGAGAAAGCAGCCACCGGCGTTTAGGTGCACCTTGTGCACAAGAGCCTTCCATATGATCCACATTCCAGTCGTGTGTTTCCACAATACCCTGCCTCTTGATCACTTACTTTCAATTCTTACTCTCAGATAAGGGCATAACCCACCTCAAGTACTAATCCGTGAAAACTCCCTGGTTAATTCACAAAACACTTCTAAAGCATAGCATCCACCACATAGTTACCACTCACAGAAGTGGTGACATCACTACAGGCTCTTACAGAGAGACCAGTACTCTCTGGGACATGGCCCAGCCACATGCCTGCCTCAGAACAACCCTCACGCATTGGCTGAGCCTGCAAAGGTCTCACCTCTAGCCCATAGAGAAGATCAGAGGGTGGGCAACTTGGGCGAACAGGTTCCCCTGCCATAGGTGCACTGGGTGACTTCACCATCATGAAGCTATCGCTCCGAGTGGGTGCAGAAGCCAAGGGTGTACAGCCATGAGAGTGGCCGCCCACATCAACAAACTTGATAGGATCATCTGACCCTAGCTGGATTCGGAGGATCCCATTGGAAGGAGGAAGCCCCTCTCTCCTTCGAGACCGGGTGAGACAGGCACAGGTGCCAGCAGGAAAGCAGGTCACTCCACAGGCAGCCCCACGCAGGCACTTCGAGATTAGTGCCACGAATGAGCCAAAGGAGACAAAGCAAATTGCCACTAGAGATACAGCCAAGTACAGGGTCAAGCGGGATTCTCCTTCCCTTGGAGCTGAAGATTCTCGAAGATCAGGGACAACTGGATGAGTGTCTTCTTCCAAGGACACCAGGAGAGTAACGGAGGTAGAGAGTGGTGGGCTACCACTATCCTTTACCACAATGACCAGCTTCTGCGGCGGGAGATCAGCTGGGATGGGAACAGCCGTCCGCACCTCCCCAGCATAGCGGGAGACTGCAAACAGGCTGGGATCTGGGGCCTCCAGGAGCTGATACGAAACCCAAGCATTGTAACCCGAATCCAAGTCCACAGCGGTCACCTTTGTAACTAGGTGTCCAGCACCAACTGATGGAGGCAGTGCTTGTGGACATAAGGAACCAGGTCGGGCTCTAGGGCGGAGCACAGCTGGCGCATTGTCATTGAGGTCCAGTACAAATAGACGAACTGTCACGGTGCTACTAAGGGGTGGGTTGCCCCGATCCCGGGCCTGCACCTCAAACTGCAGTGTCTGTGTTTGCTCATAGTCAAAGGATCGAGTAGCATGAACAGCTCCCGTCTGGGGGTTCAGAGAGATGAAGGAGGAAGCTGACACATCTCGATTTCTGGGCTCTAGGAGAGAGTAGGAGATAAGGGCATTCAAGCCAGAGTCTGGATCAGAGGCTGCAAGGGAGCAAAGCAGGTCCCCTGGGCGATTGTTCTCTGGAACAAATACTTCATGTGACCTCTGAAAGAAAGAGGGTGGGTTATCATTCACATCTGAAATATTGAGGAAAATGGTCCTGTGGGTACTCAGAGGAGGGCTCCCAGCATCAGAAGCAGTGACCATGATATCATAGCTGGATTTGGCCTCTCGGTCCAAGGGTCCAGCAGTCACCAGGGAGAACTGGTTCTTGAAGGCGGACTTGAGGGCAAAGGGCAAATGGTCAGGAATACGGAGGCTCACATCTCCATTTGAACCTGAGTCAGGGTCCTGCACACTGATGAGCGCCACCACCGTGCCAGGTTCTGCGCTCTCAGGGAGAGTCCCAAGCTCTGAGGTCACTGTGATGTGGGGGGCATTGTCATTTACATCCAGGAGATCCACCCGAAGGCTGCAATGTTGCTCCATGGCTGGAGAACCCCCATCTCGAGCCCGAACATCAAATTCATAGTAATTCTCGCTCTCAAAGTCTAGGGGCCCCTGAAGAGTAAGCTTTCCATTAGTGGGGTGCAGGCTAAAGAGATTTCTCACACGGTCAGGGGTGTGACCACTGAAAGAAAAGGTGACGTTACCACTGGGACCCAGGTCTGGGTCAGAGGCATTGAGCTGGATGAGTAGCATGCCGGCTGGCGCGCTCTCCAAAACGCTAATCCTGTAGCTGGATTGCTGGAAGGCTGGGGCGTTGTCATTCACATCCAGCACTGACACCCGGAGCTCCGCTGTGCCAGATCTCGGGGGGTTCCCTCCATCCACAGCAGTCAGCACTAGGCGGTAGTCTGATTGCTTTTCCCGATCCAAAGGCTTCTCCAGGAGCAGCTCTGGGACCAGGCTGCCGTCGCTGCGCTTCTTGACATCCAGTGCAAAGTGTTCATTGGAGCTTAGTCTATAGCTGCTGATGGAGTTGCTCCCCACATCTGCATCCTGAGCCTTTTCCAAGGGGAAACGCTGTCCTGGAGGAGCTGCCTCCCCAATTTCCAAGTCCAGCTGCTGCCGAGGAAATCGGGGGGCGTGATCATTCACATCCACGATTTCTACCTCTGCTCGGTACATTTCCAAAGGCCCTTCTGTTACAAACTCCAGGGGCACGATGCAGCTGGCACTGAGCCCACACAGTGCCTCTCGATCGATTGGATTCTTGATGAGCAGGGCACCGCTGTCCAAATCCACACGGAAGTGTCTTTGGTTCACCTCTCCAGCGACCTGCAGCCTGCGAGCTGCTAAGCTCTCTGCATCCAGCAGGAAATCTTGGGCGACATTCCCTACAAAAGTCCCTTCCTGTGACTCCTCTGGGACCGGGTATCGGATCTGCCCACAAACGTAACCCAGGTGGCAAAAAAGGAACAAAAGGGTAGTCCCCCGGCAGATTTCTACCCAGCTTCTCACCTTGCGGAGCATTGCTGCCGCCCACTAGTTCTCTATCTGGTCCTGAGAAGCCGAAGAAGCCGACCCGCCCCGAACGGCCACAGCAGCTGGAGACACCTATCTCCCTTTCCCCGCGCCAGCTCTGGCGCGGCTGGGCCGGCGCCGCAAGGGTTACGCGCCGTTTTTTTTGCTGGTGGCGGGGTAGATTTGTCTGCCTTCCTCCACCCGATTGGCAGACAGAGGCTCCTGGGCTCAGCCAATAGGCTAAGCAGAGAACGTCCCAATAGCAGCAGGGTAAATGCGTCGCAGCATTGGAAAAAGGAAAGAAAAAACAAAAAACAACCCACCTATCTTTTTGCCTTCCTCCTGTTCAACAGCATTTCCCCCCCACCACCACAGGTTATTACCTCTATGGAGAGGCAGACAACATACACGTTTTTTTTTTTTTCTAACACACCAATTCCCAGCCCACACCACCCCGCCCCTTTTCGGTGGGGGAAAACAGCGACAGCCTGAGCCCTAGCAACCTGCAGCCCAGAGAGTGAGTAGCCATTTGAGACTGGTCACTTTGTTCAAGCCAATGTTGTCATCCACCAATATTCTAAATGAGTAGCTTCTGCCTCGGTCTGATTGTATTAGAGCAACAGCTACTTAGAAGCACTGCCTTATACTAAAAACTCTGCCCCTCTGCAGATTATTCAGAAATATATCCACCTCTTTGCAGAAAAGGCTTACACATTAAGGTAGCCTATTAAATTTATGCAGTACACATTTTTGTTGTAACAGAAGGCGCAGCAGAAACCAAACCTCTCTTATTCAGATACCCACTGGTGGTATACTAAATTGCCATTCATCGATTTCAAGGACAGTATGGAAGGAGGTGAAGGAGGGGGGAGGAAACCAGGAGAGAGAGATGTTCCAAATCAGTAAAGAATCAGTTTGTCTGGGAAACGCTAAGGACTACATCTCACTTCCTGGCAGAATGCTAATGTTCACAGATTTAATAGCTTCCGTGAATGATTGAGATCTGCTACCAAAAGCACAGTGCCTACAAATCTCCTTTATTTGACACCACTGTATGCTTGATATGTTGTTAATTACCAACAGTGACTGTTTCAAAAGAGCAAGTTTTTCACTTAGCCCTAGGGGGCCTTTTGGCAAGGGAGACTTGATCTCACCCCAGCCCTACCCTGATCCAGACCCTCCCTGGAGCCTGGCTACCTACCACCTTGCACAAATGCAGAAACATCGTTCAATTCACACTGTAGTTACCTGCAAACTGTAGTTCAAGTCGCAAACACACCAGAGCACAAAGAGAAAAATCCAGCCTGATTTGGACGTGAGATTTTTTAAATTCATCTGAATCCTCACCTAGGCTACCAAAACCAGTGGCAAAACCTGAGGTTATCCTCCCCAGGTGTTTTCCCAAGCCCCTGATCCTCAAGAATATCCTTTTGATGGTGAGGCCAGCAACCAACACGCTGGTCTCAAAGGGAGGTATCTGCTTTCTGTGTTCTTTTACTCCCAAACACCTAAACCTCCTCCCATGGGAATGACGGAGATGTCAATCAATCTGACCCATCAGGTGGTTATGCCAGGATTCACTATCTCAGTGGAATGACACCATTAGCCACCCAAGCTGGGTCAGTCACAATGGAGAGGAGGAAGGAGGGTCATCCTTGACTCATTCCTCTCCCTCATTCCCTGTATCATGTCAATGAATGAGTGCTGATAATTTCACTACAGTTACCTCCATCTATACTGTCACTGTGCTGGTTCAAGCATTTATCAATCTCCTCAAATACTATAATAGCCTTCTAATTTTTTTTTTTTGTCTACAGTCCCAATATCCCCAATCCATTTCATTTGTGGCTGCCAGAATAATCTCTCCAAAACAAACAAAAAACCCTGATGACATCACATTTATGTCTCTTCAAAATTCTGCAATGACTATCATGGATATAGAATAAAATAAAAACTCCTTGGCATGGCATAAAGGTAACTCAAGATTTAACTCCTGCCTAATTGCTTCACTTTATCTCCTGCAAAGATTGTTTTACAAACACACTTTAAGGTTCAGCAATAATGAAAAATCATAATCCTTCTGCATGGAATCTCCTGCAAGGGTCCCTCTCTACCCCCTTTTCCCCTTATTTGACAAACTACTACTCAACCTTTTGTTCTCAGATCAAGCATCATCACCTCTATGAAGTCTCCCTGATTTCCCCAGGCTTAGGTGTTTCTTTTCCTTTGCTCCCATTGCTTCTTGGATTATACAGATCTCCATTATCGTTTTTGTGGGTGTGTGTGCGTGTCTGTCTCCTACAGTACCCTGCGTACCATAGCGGCAGGGACTGTGTCTTTTTATCTTTTAAAGTGTCTGGTACATAGGGATGTTCAATAAATGGTGAAATGATAATATCACTAATTATTAGTTCAACAAATATCTACTGAATACTTGTACTTTATATGAGTACTTTATATTGAGTATACATTTTATATGCATTACTTTTCACTCTTAGACAATTTTGGAAGATTTTATAGATGAGAACACTGAAGATCAGAAGGGTTAGGAGACTTGTGTAAAGCTCAACTAGTAACTGCAGTACTAGGATCTCCCCACTGCCACCTCTGGTCTCTCTAGAAAGAAATAAAGCCTCTTTCTATAACATCTTTCTTTCTTTTTTTTTTTAAACATCTTTCTTTTTTTTAATGTATTTATTTTATTTTTGGCTGCACTGGGTCTTTGTTGCTGCGCACGGGCTTTCTCTAGTTGCGGCGAGCGGGGGCTACTCTTCATTGCGGTGTGCGGGCTTCTCATTGCAGTGGCTTCTCTTGTTGCAGAGCACAGGCTCTAGGCACACCGGCTTCGGCAGTTGTGGCACGTGGGCTCTAGAGCGCAGGCTCAGTAGTTATGGCGCACGGGCTTAGTTGCTCCACGGCACGTGGGATCTTCCTGGACCAGTGCTTGAACTCGTGTCCCCTGCATTGGCAGGCGGATTCTTAACCACTGTGCCACCAGGGAAGCCCCTCTTTCTATAACATCTTAAATCATTTTTCTACCAGTTTGTCATCCCTGTAACCATAAACTGGTCCTTTACTGATGCCTTTAATATCAAAGAACTAGACCTCTTATAGGTCTCAATCCCTTTTATTTGCAAGTTCACAGCAAAACAAACAGGCATACAATCTATATTACTAGAACTGGAAGATCATAAAGCCTAAATCCTACACATCCTAGACTTGACCTTTTTATGCCAGGTATGTAATTCTCCCCTCTCTAGATTTTAAAAACACCTTTATTGAGCTATATAAATAATATATATTTTTATATATAATTATATATTATTATATATAATTCATCCATTACACCATATGATTCATCCCTTTAAAATGTACAATTCAATGGTTTTTAGTATATTCGCATATACTAAAATGATGCAACCATCACCATAGTATAGTTATAGAAAAAAATTTTCATTCCCAAAAGAAATCCATTCCCAAAAGAATGGATTTCTAGGCTAGAAATCCATTGCCTAGCTCTAGACTTTTAAAGAAATAGTTGCCCAGGTGCCAGTCGTTGAGGAAGATTTTTTCTTCAGATGACTGAAATATCTTATGTCTTCCTTACAATGCTCTCCTAGAGCTATTCTCTATAATATTTTAAGGTTGGGAAATAACATCACAGAATTTTTTAAATTTCAGTTTGGCCCAATAAGGCTGGCTGCTGGGGCTGTGAACACCAGAATAACACTTTGCTTCAAAAACATGCTAATTGATAGACTGGCAGGTCCTAGGGCAATGCTTTGCAAATTCGTCTTCACATTGAGATTACTTGGGGACCTTCAAAAACTACTGATGCCTGTGTCCCATCTCAAGAGATTATGCTTTAATCCATCTGGGATGTGGCCTGGGCTTCAGAATTTTTAAAAGGCCCCTAGGTAATTCTGGTGTGCAACCAAGTTTGAGAACATTGTCCGTGGGAAAATGCCAGTTGTTCTCCGGTCTGACCAGAAAGGCAGCAGCTGCTTCTCCCTGGCTTTCGTCCTCCCTTAGCCTTTCCATCTATGCCTCTACTTTGTCATCTTTGACTGTCTCCAGGTTTGTTCAATTTCTAAAGTGTGTTTAATTAAGATTTGGAGTGGGTTAAGAACTAATAAAAAAATATTAGTCACAGCTAAGAATTTTTTTTAACACCTTTGATATTCTAGGCACTGTGCATACATTATATCATGAACTAATGTTATAAAACCCTTGTCACTCCCTTTTTGCATATGAAAAAGGGTCTAGAAAAGAGATTAACTTGGCCATGGACTCATAGATGGTAAGTGTCTAACTGCCAAACCCAAGGCTTGATAGCAATAATACACTTATTAGTAACGAAGTAACAGTTGTTCTCCCACAAATGGAAGTGTGTTCAATCTCACTCCAAAACAAAGACCTGCACACCATGCTGAATAAATGAAAGCTTTATCTTTTTCTCAGGATATGAATTTACCTACCTTTCACACTATGTGTATACCCAAGAAAAATGATGAAAGGATAGGAAATGACACTTTGGGCAAGAAGAGCTTTCATTTTGTACTTTACGTTCTTCCAGGTTGTCTGGATTTATCTTCGAAATTAATGATTACTTTTACTTTTATAATGAATGGTGGTTACCTTTGGATTTGGAGGATATAATTGGTTTTAATTTTTTCTTATACTTTTACATATTTTCCAAATTTTCTATAATGCACATGTATTACCATAACAAAAATTTTTTGTGAGTAATGTCCACATAATTTCAGCACTGTGCTTGAAATAAAATTTAAAGGACCCTAGAATTTTATTTCTTTCATAGAAAGTCATCTGAGAATGAGGTACAGGATCTGTGTAGTCAAAGGAAAATTATCAGCAAACCATTAGCTTTAATGCAGATGTGGCAATCATTTGAAAGATGGACAGATGAGGTAGTTTTTATATTCCTAGCAGCTGCCACTGGTTAGAGGTATATCATCAGCTTGTACTCAATGCAAATGACACCAAGCTAAGCTCTTGAATGCTGAGATGGTGAGTTATAGCTTAATGGCCCTTTAGCAGGATTGGTTAGTTGCTATGGCAAGTGAGTACCGAGGGTGTGAATTGTGTCCACAGATAAGTCAATTAACTCCACACTGTGTGGGACCACAAACCACACTCTAGCTGGGCCATCCCCCTCCCCCACAGGCACGACGTTTGATCTGGGAAAGGCCAAGTGAAAATGTGGATGCATCACTAGGAAAACATCTTGATCACTGAAAATAAAGGCGGCTACATACTTTCCTGAAACTGATGCAGGAATCAAAAAGCATTAATGTCATTCCAGGATGACTTGCTAACCCTTACCTGTCCTGGAGGGGAGCTCTCTGCACCCAACACTTGCCTATAGAACACTGGATCGAGGCTCCGCAGAGTGTTCTGGCGGCTGGCCAGTGGGCTGGCGGCACCTGGTTTCTTCAGCAGCGGGTCGCTGCGTCTCGAGTCAGTGGTGAGGTACACCTGATGGTAAAGGTGTGGAGGCAACAGGCCTCCCCGCACGGCGTCCGCGTGCAGAGAAGGCCCTGGTGTTCGGTACAGGGAGCTCACGGGAGCTCGGTATAGGTCCCTGGACTGCTTCCATTTGTAAACTTTGAATACGATCACTCCCAATACTGTGACTGCGAACCCCACGGAGACCAGGATTAAAGAGAGAAGTAGATAAAAGGTGAGATTTTTATTCTGCTCCCTGGGGGCAGAGCCGGAGGGGAACTCAGCTCGGGCTTCAGGAGATTCCTCGATTACTGACACAGTCAGGGTCGCGGTGGTGGACAGCGACGGCTCCCCATTGTCTTTTATCAAGACCGTGAGAGTCTGCCTGGGCGAATCTGTATCCTGGACTGGGCGGGCAGTGCTGACTTGACCCGTGTGAAGTCCCACAGCAAAAAGGCTCTGGTTGGGGGCTCCCAAGAGGCTGTAGGAGAGCCAGGCGTTGTGCCCTGCATCCGGGTCCCAGCCTACCACACGCGTGACCACGTGGCCTGCAGACGTACCTCGAGGCAGCATCTCCACCGAGCTCTGGCCAGGCCGGGGGTATAGGACCTGGGGGGCATTGTCATTGCGATCAGTGACAAATATGTTCACGCTGATATTCGTGGCCAGGACAGGAGTGCCGCCATCGCTGATATGAGCTGTTAATTCGAACGCCCGCCGATCCTCATGGTCCAGGGGCACTAAGGATGACACGACGCCACTGTCACGATTTATCGTGAAATAGCGACCCACCAGCCCTATTTCAGCTCCTTGCTCCAAGAGAAAGAAGGAAAGGCGAGCATTCTGCGGGGCGTCAGGGTCCCAGACACTTAGATTTAGTATTGGAACACCGGGGAGGTTATTTTCCTCAACGTAAACATCGTAGGAAGACTGGGAAGATTGTGGAGGGTTGTCGTTGATGTCGGACACTTGCACCTGCACTGTCGTGAGGGCTGAGAGGGAAGGGGTTCCCGCGTCTCGAGCCGTGATGCTGAGGTTGTATTCTGGCACAGTCTCCCGATCCAGGGCCGCACTGGTTTTCAAAGTAAAGTAATTCTTGAGGGAAGATGTAAGGCTAAAAGGGAGACCTGGTGGAACCTCGCAAGTCACCAGCCCGTTCTCCCCAGCATCCAGATCGGTAACACTGAGCAAAGCAATGACAGTTCCTAGGGGTGCATCCTCAGGGACTGGGCTGTACACGGAGGTGACTGTGATCTCCGGGGCATTGTCATTTACATCCACAACCTCTACCAAAACTTTACAATGTGCTCCCTCAGGACTGGCGCCCTTGTCTTTGGCCTGTATGTAAATCTCATGGAGTTTGGCGTCTTCGAAGTCCAGTCGACCCTTGACGGTCAGCACCCCAGTTACAAGGTCTAAGGAGAATAGTTCCCGCACGCCAGCGCGGTTGTGGCTGCCGAAGGAGTAAATGATTTCGCCGTTGGGGCCTTCATCCAGATCCGTTGCATGGACTTGCACGACGCGAGTGCCGGGGGGTGCATCCTCCAGGACGCGCGCCCGGTACAAGGACTGGTTGAAGGTGGGCGCATTGTCATTCGCGTCCAGCACGACGATTCGAATAGGAAGGCTGGCCGAGCGAGCCGGAGTTCCTCCGTCCAACGCTGTCAGCACCAGCTGGAGATCTGGTTCTCGCTCCCGGTCCAGGGCGCGCTCCAGCACCAGCTCCGCGTACTTGGTGCTGTCTTCCCGCGTCTGCACGCGAAGCGCAAAGTACTCATTTCGGCTCAGCTCATAGGTTTGTAAAGAGTTGCTTCCCACATCTGGATCGTGCGCGCTCTCGAGCGGAAAGCGCGTCCCCGGCGCCACAGCCTCGCTAATCTCCAATTTCATTTCCCGGGTAGGAAAAGAGGGATTGTTGTCGTTGATATCCTGGATCACCACTTCGGCGCTGAACAGCTCTAGCGGCCTCTCCACTACCAACTCCAGAGTTATGGTGCAGGAGGGCAGCGTCCCACATAGCTCCTCTCGATCCAGGCGGTCGTTCACGAACATCTCTCCCGTCTCCCAGTTCACCTCAAAGAATCTTCGGCTAGCTCCGGACACCACGCGGAGCCTGCGGGCTGACAGGCTGCCGAGATCCAAGCCAAGGTCCCTAACCACGTTTCCCACCGCGAAGCCCTTCTCTCTTTCCTCCAGGATCTCATAGCGAATGACGGCGGC